GGGGCCGCTGCTGGGGCCGGTCGGGAGCGAGACGCTCCCACAGCGCAGGCTGCTCTCCGTCTGGCAGCGCCAGAGCCCTCACTCCTTCTTCTTGGAGACCCCAGTGCTGGTCGCCAGGCTCCCGTGACTCCTGGCTCCTGACGAGACAGCTGGAAAGGAGGGCTCCCCCGCCCAGAGCTCAGGTTCCTGGGAGGCTGGAAGGAGGATCCGCGCGGAGCCGCCTGGCCCGGGCCGCCCGCCTCCTCTGCTGCTTCTATCACCGCTCCCCGGACTCGGCCCCAGTGGACGACCACTAAGAACCTGGCTCCCGCTGAACACAGTGCATGGGTACTGGATCCCTAACAAAGGGGACTCGGCTCACACGATGTGGCCGCTCCTTTTTGCCCAGAAGATGGAATCCAGGCCGACCTTCCAGGCTGCTCCCCTGCACCTGCCGGGAACCAGCCTGCTTGCCAGCTTGCTGCCTCTGAACCAATACAGTCAGGCCTCCTGGCCTTTGCACTTGCTGCTCCCTGTGCCTGAACTGCTGACACCTGGCGAACTCCTACTCGATCTGTGAAACCCAGCCAAAAAGGTCCTTTTCTGAAGACACATTCAAGCGTCCTGAAGGAGGAGACCCGGCTACTGGTTGGAGCTACCCCTGTGACTGACACATGGCTCGGCTCTCAGGGCTGCAGCCTCACTTGTCACTGCTCTGTTTGCTTCTCCTGGGCCACCTCCACACCCGTGTTACGAGCAGCGTGGATGTCCTACCCACTGCGCGGTGCTCCAGGATGTTTACTTGTGGTTTATCAAACCAACACACGAGTGGCTGAGGACCTGTGACAAGTAGACACTGGGCAAACTGACCACCAGAGTGAGGGGTGGGCTGGGGCTTCAGGCCAGTAACCCGGAAAGGCTTGTAGGCAAAGGTAGGGTCCCTCCCTCCAGGGCCTGTGTCTCGCTCCCGGGCCCAGGGCCAGCGAGTCCTAGCCCAGCTTGGGGACTCAGTGTGTCCGAGGCAGCCAGAGTGCCCCTGAGCTCTCCGGCCCAACAGGGAGGAAGGAGGGTGAATCACTCCATTTGTTTCACGAATCCAATGCAAAGCCTTTCAGATTTATCTGAAAACAAAACCAAACCCCAAAGCCAAATCCACCACTTAGGCCACTGCCGTCTGGAGGAGGGCAGGCCTTCAGTCCAGCCTCCGGGAGCCCTGGAGGTGGCCGCTGGCCTCCCAAGCACACCCTGTCTCCTCTCCCTCCCGCTCTGGGTTTGCAGGGTGCAGTCCCGGGAGGGCCAGAGCCCCACGTGGTGGCTGCTGGGAGACTCTGGAGGGGCTGGACCACCCAGGTCTGAGATCAAAGATGAGCTAAGATGGCAGCAATTAGGAGTGGGGCTACAAGCCCAGGGCAATTAGTGGTGCTTAACAGCAGGTGATTGAATCAGTCACTGCCCCCAGGGAGGGCAGGGTAACTCCGGGTTCCACCCAGGGCTGACTCAGACGCTGCAGGAGGGGCCTGCCGTCTGGACACACTCGGGAAGGCAGGTCTCCAGGGGCAGGTGCAGCGTTGGACCCGTTGGACCCGAGGCTCCTGTCCTCGCAGGCCCGGCCCCCTCCCCGCTCACCGGTTCTCACTCCCACACCCAGGGTGCCTGGCCCACTGGATACCTCCTTGGAAGCCTGGAGGGCACCTCCCAGCCTCTGTGGGCTGCCCTTGCTGTATGCCCAGCCTTGGGGTCCTCTTCTGGGGCACCCCACCCTCTCTCACGCCCCCTACACCCCGCAGGCCCCGAATACCCCTGAAATCAGATCTCTGCTCTTCTCTCAGTCTCCACACACTACCCCAGACCCCCTCCTCATCCCCCCTCCCAGGCCCATTCCAGTCCCTCCCTTCTGCTTCCTCCCCTCCCTCTGGTCCAGCCTGCAGCCCAGGGGTCTGGAAAGATACGGACCTGAGCATGCCCCGTCCCAGGACTCTCAGGACCTTCTTGGGGTCTCGGGAGCAGAACCCAGACCTGGCTGGTTCCAGCTGCAAAACAAAGGCAGAAGACAGCGTGAGCGGTCCCAGCAGCGTGCCGCTCCAGGCCAGGCCTCGCACCCAGCGGCGCGAGAGCCCCTGGGGCCTTGAAGCAAGCACTGTGACCGAGGCCCGCCGTGGGACCCGCGCGCCACCCAGGCCATGGATGGGCTCGCAGGCTGTTGGGTCCTGGGCTTCCCCCAGCGGGCAATTCAGCTGGCAATCCCCAGGGGCTCTGGTGGCCCTCATTGGGACTGGACGGCTTGAAGTCTGGGTCGCATGGGCACACACTGGCTCAGACATGGGGCGTCGGCGGTGGGGGGAGGTGCACTCGCACCCAGGCTGGACCTCTCTCAGCCTGACCGCCCTGCGAGTGACCAGCTGAAAGCAAAGGCCCCTGAGGAATCTGAAACTCTGGTTGGGCAGGGAGTCGGGGCCCAGGGGTACACATGGGCCTGGCCTTGTCCGGCTGCAGCTTGTTTATTCATCACCTACCCACCCACTCACCCATCTGCCCTCCCTCTGTCCGTCCACCCATCCATCTGTCCATCCAACAAGGAGCCTGCACTCAGTTGGCCCCACAGAGGATGCCATGGGTTTCTTCCCTGGTGACGCTGAGTGCCCTGGGGGCAGGACCAGGGGCGGTGGGGGAACCCTGTGAAGAGTGGGGCATCTGGGCTGGGCCTGGAAAGCAGAGGCGCCTGGGGAGCGGGCAGTGAGCAGAGGCGGGCAGGCTGTGGGCAAGCGCGGTCCCTCGCCCCTCCCGGGCACCACGGGCTGGGGATCAGGAGTCTCCCAAGGGGCTGGGCACCAGGGAGCGGCCTTCTGCCCGGAACCCCCTTGGGCAGGAGTGGCGCTGATTCAGACCCAGGGATGAGCAAGCTTTTATTTAAAGTCGCGTTATATGCGGGCGGATAGAAAGGGCCTCCAGTCCCTATAAAATGCCAATAAAATCCTGAACGAGAAACCCGCAAAGGGGGGGGGGGCGCAGGCAAGGTCAGGAGTGTAATTAGCTGATGTGAGGAGTGAGGCTTTCATTGGGGTCACCTGGCTCCTTGAACCGTTTTACGTGCCCTGGAGCACCCCGGGGCTGGCCCTCCGACCCTCGGCTCCCACCGCCCCATCACACTGGTGCCTGCGCCGCATGCCCGCCTGGCGCCCATGGCTCTCCGGTCGTGACCCCACGAAGCTGTGCCAGGACCCCATCTGGCACGTGGGCCTCCGCCCGCGGCGGCCACCGCGTGGGTGGCGTGGCCGCATCTCCACCGGCCCACTGCTCCGGAACGGAGAAGCGGGCCTTGGTGCAGACGCCCCAGGGGCCAGCCCTCTGCGGCAGGGAAGTCTGGCCGGTCTGCGGAGGCCAGGCCGGCATTTGCCGTTATGTCCCGGCGCTGCCGGGTCCCAAACGCAGCCACGCGAGGGCGTGCGGCGAGGCTGTTGTGGGTGAGGGGGCTGGGACGGCTGGCCTGAGACCAGGTGCCACCCTCGGCGTGTGGAGCGGAGCCTCGGGAAGCCGGGGCCTGCAGATCACAGCTCGAGGCTTCTGTTTTGGTGGGGGCCAGGCAATGCGGGGGGGGGGGGGGACAGGCAGGATGCAGAGGTGGTTGAGGGGCTGGTGTTACACAGGGAGGGGCGCCCCCCAGGTCCTTCTCAAAGCTGGGGCGTGGGGTGAGGGGACTAGTAGCATGTGCAGGCCCGGGCGTGGGAGGGGGCGGGGGACACACGCAACTGGAGGTGTGGTGGGCCGCTTGCCCACGTGGTGAAAGATTGGTGAGAAAGATCCAGTGCCGGGGACGTCTGCGAATACGAACGATCTGAAACTTAGGGACTGAGGGGAAGGGAATGAGAAGACACCGACACTTGGTGAGGTGTTAGTATCTTCTGCCGAAAGGCTCAGCAGGTTCTTTATTTATACGTTTTTGCAAGCATTGAGATTACACTATCAAGTTCATAGAAACAAAGCAGAAACAATTAGTGCATCTCCTTTTCCGTGCTCTCAGCAAAAAGGCAACCTTCGAGGTCAATAAAAAACTAAGTCTTACACTAAAATTCATTGTTTCAGCTAAACAATAGCCCAACACAATTGATAGCCACCGGAACATTCCCATCAGCTAAAGCCTAAGCAAAGAAAGAACTTTTCTTATTCTCATGGCCTTCACACCAGGGGCCGGCTGCTACTCAGCTCTCAGAACTTCCTCTACCTAGAAACTTCTTAACTCAAATAGCTTCATTTAAAAACTTTCCCAAGTGGGCCTCCCCGGTGGCGCAGCGGTTGAGCGCTGGGCTGTGAAGCTGCCCGCGGCCTCTGCAGCGCCGGTTCGATCCCCGGCTGCTCCCCGGCCACCGGAGGAGGGTCCCACATGGCGCGCAGATCTCTCCTGCAGCCCGCTGCTCCCCTCAGCAGTGTCCTTCGGTCCTTCTGCCTGCTCTGCTCCCCGCCCTGGCTCTGGTGAATCCTCTCACCCTCCCGCGCTTCTGACTGTACCCAGTGCATGTATAAACAAAAAACAAACAAACAAACCAGCAAACAAACAAATAAAGCATGCCTCTATAAATAAATAAATAAATAAATAAATAAAAAACTTTCCCAAGAAACTTCAAGGGAAGGCAAAAAAGAACTCACAATAATAGTTGTATTGTAATGCTTGTCAGGCATGTTTAATAAACCATCTCCCATTGTCAAGTGGGCCAAATTGTTTAATAATTAGTTTTTTTTTTTCCTTTTTTTTTGTTTTGTTTGTTTATACAAGCACTGGGTACAGTCAGAAGCGCGGGAGGGTGAGAGAATTCACCAGAGCCAGAGCGGGGAGCAGAGCAGGCAGAAGGACCGAAGGACACTGCTGAGGGGAGCAGCGGGCGGCAGGAGAGGTCTGTGCGCCATGTGGGACCCTCCTCCGGTGGCCGGGGAGCAGCCGGGGATCGAACCGGCGCCGCAGAGGCCGCGGGCAGCTTCGCAACCCAGCGCTCAACCGCTGCGCCACCGGGGAGGCCCTAATAATTAGTTTTTAAGAGATAATTTTCCGAGCCGTTTATTTACTGTATATTGATGTATCTAATGTAGTGCCTGATGTTCCTTTTGGGAAATTTTTCTCCTTTTATGACCAAGAACAAAAAGTGAAGGGATGTTAGATCTTCAGCCCCACGGTGTGAGGCACAAGGAATCTTCGGCCCCACGGTGTGAGGCCCTTTCTCTTTGCTGCTTGTCAGTATCCTATCTGGCTGGGGCAACAATGCCCCCTGCAGCATCTCCCCCTTTTTTGTTTTTGACCATCATTTCCATGGTGATGAAGATCGAATATATGGATGTTGGAATGCAGTCTCAGATGAAAATTTTACTGGGTTTCAGTGTGAAAGAAAATCAGTCCCTCCAGGTATTGTCCATTGTAGAAAGCAAAAGTCCTCCATTTTTGGAAAAACAGTTCATCAGTCCAAGCAAAAAAAAAAAATTCAGAGACATTAGTCAAAACAAGACAGCAAATATGTCAAAATTTTAGAAAAAAAAAATTTGAAATGGTTCAATTTATGTAAAACACAAATTCTCCCAACCTTGATCCCAAACTTCAACAGCACAGCAAAAGTTTGTAAACTAAATCTACTTTTAAACCATATTACCTATTTTTGCATACAATCACAGGGCAGAATAACTAAACAGCAATTTCAGCTGGCTTTGTTGGAACACTTCATATACGATCAGAGCAAACTGTTGGCATCCGGCCCATGTAGGCTTCTGGAACAAGTTGGTGTTATCAGACTCCACCTGGGCTTTCCTCTCCACGAGGGTACCAGGGACTTTTCGTTGGCCGGGTTGTCCAGTCCTGCCAATGAAGGCAAGCTTCCTCACCTTCTCTGGAGGTTTCTGGAACCCTACAAACAAAGCAAACAGGTTCTCCTCTTCTCGGTTCAGCTCTGTTTTAACTTTTTGGAAGAACTCCACACAAAGCCACACAATTAAACTCATGTCCAAATTTGTTTGTATAAACAGACAAGATCCCTATGGAAATTATGCAAAAACAGACTTTGAGCTAAGTAGTAAAAGATTACTACCACTATTTTTAGGCTGTGTTGGAATCAAGGGGAGAGAAAATGCAAATACAAGTTAGCTTTGCTGGAAAAAAGAATTGCAACTTTGCTGCAGATCATGGTCACCAAAACAAGAAAACTTTGTGGATTCAGAACAAAATGCAAAAAAATTTTACCAGTATTATGTCAAAAAAAAAAAAAAAAAACTTAGAAAATATCAGGTATATTCAGTCCTGTGTAGGAAATTTGTACTCTCAACAGTTCCATCAATAGGAATCCGTTGAGGTTTTTTGTTTTTTCCCTATTTTTCCAGAAACAATTTCTGAAATAACAATTAAACAATAAACAATCAATAAACAATCGAAGTATACAATATTACAAGGTGACAATCACCACTGAAAATTTACATACATATCAGGTACTGAGGGGTTTTTATACACATTTTAGAAAACCAGTGTTAACATTTCTGTACATGCCAAAGTTTTATCATTTTCCCAAGTGACAATGTTTCCTTTCCAGTTTTACTTCACTAGGTAAGCCAAATAGAACAAATATATTTAACACCTTTCCCCAGAGGAAAGGGAGAAACCTTGTGGAGTGTCTCAGGAGCTCTACTGAGGTTCCACAAAATTTCCTTGCATCAGCCAAATGACAGACCACCAGATTCGAAACTGAATTCAGACCCCCAGGAAGCCCTGCCACAAAGATCAGAAAAACAACAGAAACAACAACACAAAATTTCCATGAAGGCACCGGTTTAGTCCAGCACCACAATGTTGACAACTTCACTGAAATGGTCTGTGTGGCCACACGAAAGCAAGATTTAGCATTAATTAGTCTTTTTTCCATCAAATGAATAAATTGATCAAATAATGTAATACAGCCAAATTTCCAACACATATCATTGTTTTTCTTCAAACCCATTATTTGCAGGTTTTATAAATCAAGGCAAATAAAATTCACTTCCCTCAAACCTTCTACAACTTACTACATACCCTCAATTTTAGCTTTTTTCTCTATTCCTCCACATTCTGGCACAACCAGACACTTTAATTTTAAGACAAAACTACTCTCCCTTCCCTTCTTTTTTAATTAACCATCAGTCATCAATTTCCTTCCTCTTTTCTTCAGACATTACTGAAACTTTCAACAAATCATGATGGAGTTTTTTTTTTTTTCAGTAGTCCAGAACATAAGGAGGTGCTTTGTGTGTTCACAACCCCAAAATGCTACTCTAAACATAGCAGATTACTAAAATTGACTTAAAAACAGTATAGCTTAGTTGCACTTGGTAAAGTTAATATGACAAAAAAAATTTTACATATACATACATATATGCATATATGTATGTTTTTAGTCAAGGAAAGGAAAATACTTTAAAGATACATTTACACAGAGTAGATTATTAATATTTAACATAACTTTAAGGCATATATGCTTTGAATTATATCATAAAATTTGAACTAGTTTTTGTATATTAAAAATTTGGATTATGATCTCAAAATTTGTTTTTATTAGAACTTATATAGGCGCCTTTTATAACTAGTCCTCCGGAGGTAAAAAACAAAACAAAACAAAAATACAAAGACAGACACAAACAGACACAGAGATCTCTTGATAGACATATAAATTTTTGGCCATGTGCATATATTTTAAAATATAGTTATTTTACCAATATGTGTGAAGATACTGAGGTTTAGAATTTAGCTCAAAAATGTCTGTATTATCACTTTATACTTTACCAGGTTAATTAGTTTTAACAAGAAACTTAACCTTTTACAGTTCCAATAAGTAAATTTAAAAGCTTTTATTCAACCAATAAGTATTCTATATAGCTTGTTAGCAAGTCAAAAGTAACTCAATAGTTTTTGCCTAAGACAATTTAGACTTTAAAATCAGAGAAACACAGGGAAATAGAACTATTTTTGTAGAATGAACCAAAATAATTTTTTAAGGTGGACAATAGAAAAGTTCAGTCCCCCACAGCCGGAAGGCAGTAGAGACCTGCCAGTGATCTCAACACCGGAGAAAAAGTCCAGGCAGCTGCTTGCTGAGATCAAGGGCAGCCCCCACCTGTCCACCGCAGTGGGTTTATGATATTTTAATAAAAACCTTTTAGTCATATTATAGTTATATAATCTTACATAGTCATATTTAACCATTTTCTATCACTTTACTAATTGTGAATGAACTTTGAATGCTATTATTTAGAAATACCTTATTTATTTATTTTAAAAGAAACAAATGGCAAAACTCCACCAGGGGGAACCTAGCCTCCTCCCCAAATAATTAACAGGAAAAGATTGGAGCATATTTTTCTTTCATTTAGGATCATGACACATTATCTCTTACTTGTTTTTGAGTTTTTATTTTTATCTCTTAACAATTTTAGCCAAGTCCAGGCTGGAAATTTGGGCTGGATTTTGGAATGGTCTCATAATTGGGAGCCGATGCCTCTGCAAAGAGGTCAGTATTGGCTCTAGAATCAACTTTTGGCTTTTGAAAAACAATTTCACTATCCCAAGAATCCTGATCACTTTCTCTAATACTGCAGGCTATTTTTTCTTTTACCTTTTGTTTTGCATCTTTCATTTTACCTCCAGCCAGGCAAAAAACGATCTATTTGTTCAGGCAACTGTTTTGTTAATACAGGGCTGTCAGCTGAGTCCTCTTTAATGTCCTTTAGGGATGCAGATAGCCGTAATTTTCTTCTATCTTTTGGAAACCAAGGACAAATCTCAACAAAATTTAGGAAACTAGCCAATTGCGCATGAGAGGTCTTAAGGCCTCTCTTAACAAGTATACTTATATCAATAAAGAGTCCTCTTTCCTTAGACTCAGTATGGCCCAATGCTTCTCAACAATAAGACACTCACTCGCCTTATCACGTAATAAGACACCCACTAGCCTTATTACAGTTCTGACTTTCTGCTCCCCCAAACCTGCTTCCTCTACAGGAGGGTATGTGCCCTACCCTATGGAGCAGATCCTAGCCGTCCCGCACGGGAAAGAAATCTTACCTTTCAAGTCTCTGCTTCGGGCCACTTGCCGGGGACCAGCCTCCGGCAAAATGTCGTGTCAGGGTTCCTGAAAGGATGAGAGGCATCGGCGAATACGAATGATCTGAAACTTAGGGACTGAGGGGAAGGGAATGAGAAGACACCGACACTTGGTGAGGTGTTAGTATCTTCTGCCGAAAGGCTCAGCAGGTTCTTTATTTATACGTTTTTTGCAAGCATTGAGATTACATTATCAAGTTCATAGAAACAAAGCAGAAACAATTAGTGCATCTCCTTTTCCGAGCTCTCAGCAAAAAGGCAACCTTCAAGGTTAATAAAAAACTAAGTCTTACACTAAAATTCATTGTTTCAGCTAAACAATAGCCCAACACAATTGATAGCCACCGGAACATTCCCATCAGCTAAAGCCTAAGCAAAGAAAGAACGTTTCTTATTCTCATGGCCTTCACACCAGGGGCCGGCTGCTACTCAGCTATCAGAACTTCCTCTACCTAGAAACTTCTTAACTCAAATAGCTTCATTTAAAAACTTTCCCAAGAAACTTCAAGGGAAGGCAAAAAAGAACCTACAATAATAGTTGTATTGCAACGCTTGTCAGGCATGTTTAGTAAACCATCCCCCATTGTCAAGTGGGCCAAATTGTTTAATAATTAGTTTTTAAGAGGTAATTATCCAAGCTGTTTATTTACTGTATATTGACGTATATAATGTAGTGCCTGATGTACCTTTTGGGAAGTTTTTCTCCTTTTATGACCAAGAACAAAAAGTGAAGGGATGTTAGATCTTCAGCCCCACGGTGTGAGGCACAAGGGAATCTTCGGCCCCACGGTGTGAGGCCCTTTCTCTTTGCTGCTTGTCAGCATCCTATCTGGCAACAATGCCCCCTGCAGCAATCCAGGCTGGAGAGATGAGGTGGGGCTGGTGGGGTGAGGGGACCTGAGCTCCTGGGGGCCCCAGTGAGGTGGGGGTGTGTGCGAGGGAGGAGCCCGAGGCAGTGGCCAGAGGAAGGACCAGCTAAGCCCTCTGGCCGGGCCTGAGGGAGCCAAGCGCCCAGTGGGTAGCTTGGGGTGAGGCCTGGGGGTGCTGGGGAGGAAGAAGACTGTGTTGAGGGCAGCAAGGGCAGGTTGGGGGACTTCAGGCGCTGGGGGGAGCCCAGTGCCTGGTTTTGGGGTCCCAGGACGGGTAGCCACAGGTTCGCGCCAATACTTGTCTTTCTTTCCTGGCCCGTTTAAGCGCGCTCCCGGGAAGCCGACTTCCCAGCCCAGCTGCCTCCATGTATGGGGTGACGTGTCTACAGGGACAGGCCCAGCCCTGACTGGAGGTGGCGGGTGGGCGGACAGGACGCACAGAAAACGCAGCACCCCAAATACCTAGCTTGGTCAACACCATTCCCCCTGGGCCGAGGGCTCAGAGCAGGGGCACCTGTGTCTGGGCTCCTGCTGTGGCTGGCATCTGGCACTGGAGAGCCTGTGGAGGGGCCCAGAGGGCACGGCTGCGCTCAGCGGCCTGGCCAGCACGGGCGCAGCACCCTGGGGGGCAGGCCGGCAGGCGAGGGAGGCGCGCCCTCAGTGGAGAGCAGGGCTCTCGGGACACAGCCGCCCTGTCCACGCACCGGGCGCTCGGCACCGGCTGAATGGCGCGGCCCAGCAGCGGGGCTGCGGAGGACACCAGGAAAAAAAGTCATTGGCAGGAATGGAAAATTCTGTGTGGCTGGGAAGGTCCCTGTAAGGCACTTCTTTAATTGGGTGACAAACCCCTGGGCGGCAGGAAGGTGCCTTGTTTGGTTACAGGATGCAGCTGCTTCGGCGATTCTGTCATCAGAAAGTAGTGATCTTGACACCAACAGCGATCAAGCTGCGGAATCACAGGACTCACGCGTGACGCCTGCGGGAACGTCAGGAGGGCGCCACCCCCGCCGGCCTCTCTGGCCAGTTGCGGTCTGGGGAGCCCGGCTCACAGACCGTCCCCAGCCCCTCAGGCCCAGACCGATGCCCTCAAGTCTCGACCAGCGATGCCATGGCTGCAGGTGTGGACGTCACCCCCATTCCTGCCTACCCCGACTTGCCCCTGGCTCCCGCGCCTGTTTCCCACAGGGTAACAGTGACAAGGGTGCGTTCAGATTCTTCCCACACGCTGGACATGGCTCCGGGGCACGCTCCCGTGGGAGGCACACACTCGTGATGTGACTTCCTTCCCCAGGAGGAGCACCTGCCGCGCCCCCACCCCTGCTGGTAAGGCCGACTGAGGGGCCAGAGGGTGGCTCTGAGGCGAGGTGGCCGGGGCTCACGCTGGGTTTTCACAGGCTGGGCACACGGGGCCCTCGGTCACTTGGCGCAGAGGCCCTCTGGGCCCTGGGGAGAGCTCCTGGGGGTTCCCAGGGCGGGGGAGTCCGGGCCTCAGGACCCCGGGAAGCCAGCGCCACTCTTGTTCTCGTCCTGGAGGCCCTGGGCCTGGCCCTCCTCCACGAGGTCGGCCACCAGGTTCAGGCGGCAGGCCCTGAGCGCCGTCACCAGGAGGGACACGGTCGCGTCCTCCCTGTTGGCGTTCTTCCAGACTCTCAGCGCCTCCCTGATCTTCTCGGTCAGGTTTCGGGGGTACCTCTCCTCGATGGCATCGATCTTGGCATCAGACACCCTCAGCTGTCGGGCCACCTTTTTCCAGTCCTTCCCCACGTTGTCACAGACGATGTCAAATGCCGCATGCAGGTCTGGGGAGGGAAGGAACAGTGACTCACCGGCGGTATGTAGCTCCGTGGGCCACAGGAAGCCCCATGCGCCCTGGTGGGCTGCCGAGGCCAACCCCTGGGCACACTCGCTCTTCCTGGAGAGCTAAAGCCACCAGCAGCAGAGGGGCCGGGGCCGGTGACCAGCGCCCCAGAGCCACCAACCCACCCTGGACAACCCCACCTCAAAATACTCCATAAGAAGTGTGGGCGGCTGAGGACTGACAGTTAGGGGAGGGTGTGGTGGGGCCCTCTGCTTAGGACAGGGGACCCCTGGAATGGAACCGTTAGAAATGGAGCCGCTTCCCTGCTCCAGGGGTGGCCCCTAAAAAGCTGTGTCCGCGGAAAAACACTGTGACCGGGAACACCAGCTGATGGAAGAGGGTCTTTGCTGAGGTGATTACAGTTTTGAAGTAAGGTCACCCTGGCTTACCCACAAGGGCCCCTGAGACACAGAAGAGGCCAACTGACTGGGGGCAGAGCTGGCGCATCGCGGCCACAAGTCAAGGAGCCCTAGTGCCCCAGTGCTGGAAGGGGCAGGAAGGGGCCCTGCAGGAGGCGGAGGGAGCAGCACCCCACACTGCGCGATTTCACACTTCTGGCTCCAGAACCATACTGGACCCAGTTTCTGTACTGTAGGCCTGCTACGTTGTGCGTGCCTGCCAAGGCGGCCCTAGGAAATACACCCCATTCTCATATTGGAAGCTGCCCTGCCCACCCGGGTCTAGCCCCACTGCTGCTCTCAGCGGCTAGAAAGGCAGTGCAGAGACGAGCCGGCTGGGGGCGGGCCAGAAAGGCGTCTCCAGCTGGGGCAGGACATGACCAGCCCGGTGTTACCACGGCTACTTGTCCAGATGGGGAAACTGAGGCACCGGGAAGGAAAGTGAGTCCCCTGGGGTCAGACAGCCGGACACGGGAAACCTCGCCAGTCTGGCGCCAGCCCATGCTTCAGCGCGACACGAAGGTCACCTGGAATCACCCCACACCCCCCTCCCGCACAGGCCGCCGGCCCTCGGTGCCCTTCCTCCAGCCGGCACAGGCAGCACACCCGACTCAAGGGCTGCGTCCCTCGCGCACCGCGGGGCCCCCCTGGCCCTGAACACCCTGGAAAACACCCCCCTGCGTCCTCATTTCGGGCCCAGGTTTCTGCACTTCTGCCGGGTGCGTCAGCCTGTGCACTCAGGGCCCCGGCCCGCCTGAGGGTCCGGCAGGCCCGAGAAGCAACGGGCCTTCGAAAAGGGGTCTGGGAAGTGACCGCAGGGCAGGCCGCGGCTCCCGGGCGTGAAGCCGGCAGGGGGTGCAGAGGGACCGCCCGAGCCGCCTCCGGGGGCTGCGAGAGCCCCCACGGCGAGGGGGGCGGGCGGGAGGCCTCCCCAGCGGGCGCGGTCGGTGAGACCCGGCTGCCCGGGCTCCCCGCGCGGGGGCTCTGGGCGGGGCGCCCCGGGCACCCCGAGAGGGAAGGCGGAGGCCCCGGCCGCGCCCGCCCCCCCCCCCAGGCCAGGGGCGGCCCCGCGGCGGCGGGTCCCCGGCGTCGCCCCCGTCCGGCCCGGCCCCGCCCCGCCCCGCCCCGCCCCGCGCACCTCGCTCCTCCGGCGGCCCCGCGCCCGCCGCGCCCGCCTCGAAGGCGTCCAGGCGCCGCAGCAGGTCGTGGCGCCGCAGCGAGGCGAGCAGCTCGCGCAGCAGCGCCGGGTTGTCGCGGCCCAGCGCCTCCTGCTGCAGCAGCGCCGAGAAGAGGTCCAGGCCGCTGCGCACGGCCTCCAGCTTGCGCTTGCTCAGGCGGCCGCCGCACAGGAACTTGAGCTCCTGGAGCTCGGCCTGCGACAGCCCGGCCGACACCGCGTGCAGCAGCACCAGGAACGGGTCCATGGCGCCCGCGCCCCGCCGCCGCCGCCCGCGCCCCGGCCGCGCCCCCGACCCCGGAAGTCCGCCCGGCCCCGGCCGCGTCTCGCGAGACTGCCGGGCGCCGCGCATGCGGCCCGCGCTCGAGTGGCGCCGTTTCCGCCCGGAGGCCCGCGCCCCCCCCCCCCCGCGCCGTCCTCTGCGCCTGCGCGCTGCGGACCCGCTCACCTGCCCCGAAGGTGCGGTCGCGGGTGCCGAGACCCGGGCGGGGTCTGGGGGGGCCCGTCTGCTTTTCCTGTGCAGTGTTGCCTTGCGGATGCCGACCAGTGCATTGTTATTAATATTTGGGGAAGTGCACGGCAAAAAGACGTCTTAGGATTATTTGGGATTAATCTTTAATATTTGGCTTTGAACTTACAGCAATTTATTCAAAGAACATTTATTCCAAGATCACCGACCGTGTGCCCGACAGTGTGTGCGGGGACAGAGTCGGGAACACAGCCCAGAGGCCCCTGCCTGCCCGGCGCCCATGTCATCAGCGCGCAAATGGCTGTTTCCTTCATCCGTGGAGACGGGCTTTTTCCCTATTCCCGGAGGATTCAGCAGCTGCCGCTTGAGCCTGCGCGCCCCGACCGAGAGGGGCTTGCTGGCCGGGAAGAGGGGGCAGAGGCCTTCCCAGACCGCTCACGGGAGGAGGCCAGCCCAGGCCCACCCGGCTGAGCCGCATCCCTGGGGTGGGGGGCGCTTGCAGGTGGGATTATCTCCCCTTGGGACAGAAGGCATCTTCCTGCTTGCGCTAAGAGTGGGTTCCTTCTTTTGGGGCGAGCGGTGAGCGCAGGTGATGGTGAGGATTCCCGTTAGCTCCCTTTACAAGCCTCCCCCTGCTCCAGTTTGTTGAACTTTCCTGGGTCAATTTGCGGGAGAGTTAGTGTTGGGTGTGCGGAGGGGGGGCCAGCAGCGGCCTCGAGGGGGTGGTCGCAGCGAGCCCCGAGCAGGTGGACAGGCGGGGCCAAGTGTGGTAGGCAGGGGGCAGGGGTGCAGCAAGAACAGGGGCACAGAGCAGAGTCTGGGTGTCCCGGGCAGCGGGAGGATCACATGGTCTGGGGACAAGCAGGGGGAGGCCAGGGAAAGGAGGCAGGCTAGGGCCCCTACAGAACAGGTGAGACCCCGCCTTTACTGCCCCTGAGCGGGAGCCCCGCAGAGTGCGGGCAGAGGAGGGAAGGCGTCTGCAGCCCCGAGCCGCAGCACACACGGGCCTCCCTTGCTGGCACGAGAGGTTCTTGGAAACTGCAGCTTCGGGTGAAGGGACAAACCAGGAACCGGTCCTGGAAGCACCTCATTCTGGTCGACACTGGCAGGTTTTTTCCCACAGGCGTTATGAGACAATGATGCTGCGTGAAGCTAGAACTTATTCAAAGACCTGCTCTGTGTGTGTGTGTGTGCGCGCGCGCGCGCGTGTGTGTGTGTGTGTGTGTGTGTGTGTGTGTGAGTGACATTCCATGCAGATCACTCGGAGTAAAACGCAGTGGTTTTCACTATAGTCACAAGGTCGTGCAACCCTCACCATCAGCCAATTGTACATTTGCTTATCCCCAAGTGGAAACCTGCACCCAGGCCCTGGCACCAGTGATTTTCTTCTCTCTCTTTGGATTTGACTGTCCTGGACATTTTCTATAGGTGGCAGCCCCCCCCTTCACCGCCCCGTGGCCTTTTGTGTCTGTTCTTTCACAGAGCAGCCTCCGTGTTGGCAGCACTCCATCCTTTTTTACCGCTGAATAATACTTCCCCGTGGAACGTAAGTCATTGTGTTCTTCTCTTCACCAGCTGATGGCGGTGTGGTTGTTTGAATAATGCTGCTGTGAGCACTGATTACATTAAAGAACCACTCTGCTGTGGGGTGAAGCTAGGGGACTCCCCAGGAACACCGGCAGGAGGCGAGGCCCTTGGACAGGTGCAGGGCCCTGGGAGGCTGGTAGGTCTTCCTTGACTCGGGCTCTGCTTAAATGTGAGGGTTGAAGCTGCTTGTAAGGTGTGCAGAGGGTGGAGCATCCAGGAAGGTGTGCGGTGAGATGGGGGGGGACCTAAAAGATGTTAACAGGGTGGTGGGGTGCTTGGCGAATGCCATTTGTGTTTCCTCCCTAGCGTTGTGTGCTTAAGAACCCAGGAGGCTGCGTCTCCCGCCGGTTCCTGGACGCAGACCGTCGCTATTAGTGCGGAAGCGGAGCAGGGCTGTTGCCCCTCCTGTGTTTTCTGCCCGCTCTGTCCCTTCTTCTGCTGCTGGTCTCTTACTCACGCTGGCTGCTTTCCTCGAATGTCTGGGACCTCCCAGAGACTCCTTCCTGGGGGAGGGGGCACGTACTGGACAGGTCACTCCACTCCCCAGTCCTGTGCATCGCTCATCACGGGGCAGCAGCGGCTGCGGGTGACGGTTCAGGACTCCGAGCAGGGGAGATGAGCCTGGCTTTCCCGGACCCCGTCTATTCGGGAGCCCTCGCCAGCCCCGAACTGCAGAGGACTCCCCGCCGGGCTGGCTTGGTCCTGCCAAGCCACCGTGATTTTAGCCCGGTGAGAGCTGCCTGTGGCCTCTGACCCCTGCGAGGTGACGCGGGCGGGTTCTTCCAGGCCCGGGGTTTGGAGATTTGTCAAGGCAGCAAGTGAAAAACGAACCCAGCCCCCTGTGCAGCTCCCGAACCAGCCAGAAGGGGGCAGCAGCCACCAACCAGAAAAAAAGGGTGACCCGCCTATCTGGGGTGTTTGGGACAGGGGTATGGCTCCTGGCGCGGGGGCGGGGAGCGGGGCGGGGATCCGACTTTTGGTGGACGCTGACTGGGAACTGGGATCCGCGCCGCTTCTGTGAGTTTCGCTGCAGGACAGACGGGGGAGAATGAGAAGGACCCAGTAAATAAAGGCCTGGGCTGACCTGGGGAGTCGGCGCCAGGCCCCACCGAGGAGCCCTATTCTCAGGGAGCCACCAGCAGCCTGCACCGGCCCGCCAGGGACCAAGCTGCCCCGCCCTGGCAGGCCCAGGCCGTGCGCTCTCCATGCACGCTCCCGCCCGCGGCCGTGTGAGGGGGCAGTGGGTGGACAGCCGGCGGCGGCCACATCTGTGGGCCAGAAGGTGTGCCCGCTTGCCTCACTGCCTCCACCGTCCCTGCCAACTTGACTCGCGGTCCACTCAGCTCAAAGACAGAAGGACCCAGTCGCCAGGCCGGAAGCACCCGCTGTGCGCCACCACCCCCGGCCTCGTGCCCCCGTTCTCCCGCCCGCTGTCTGTCGTCCACCCTTCCCGTGTCCACGGTTGGTCCATTCGAACATCCGCCATCCGCCCATCCACACCCGCCCACCCATCCGCCACCCGCCCTCCGTTCCCTGCCCGTCTACCCTCTACATGTCCATCGAGTCATTGATCCGGGCGGGCAGCATCCACCTGCCATCCACGCGAGTAGCCATCCAAACCTCCGCCTGCCCCTCGCTCCCCCAGCGCTTTCCGGCGCTTTCTCTGAGCCTTCTGTGTGCCAGTCCTCCTTCCTGACCCCGTTTTCTAGCGGGTGTGACCCAGCAAGGCGTTGCCCTCTCTGAGGTGGCTCTTACAAGGCACGGACAGGCTCATGAGTGTTGCTCAGAGCAACACCCGTGGCCGGGAACATGCTGGGGGCTCCTGCGTGGGAGTCGGGATGCTGGTGTCTGGGGCAGTGGCTCCGAGTGCCGCCGTGGGGGCAGAGAGCCCTGTCCCAGGCACGCTCTGACCAGACGCTTCCAGGGGTTCCACAGCCAGCCCTGGCCCCAGGCACCGGGAGCCGCTGTCTCAGCTGCCCCTTTGGCAGCAGGGCAGGCACGTGGTGGGGGGCTTGGCCTCGGGAGAGCAGAATCCCGAATCCCCGTGGCAGACGCCGGGGCCGCTGGACCAGGCCCAGCCCTCGGGCCCCTGCAGGCCCCTGCCCCGCCCTCTCTCACCCACGCCAGTCCAGGGACCCTCTGCCCTGGGTGCCGCGAGGCCCCTCCCAAGGATGGCTGTGTCGCGGGCGCTGCGTGACCTCAGGGGGGTCCCTGTCCTCCCTGGACCTCCTCGACGCCCGTCTGACATGACGGTGCCCTCTGACCAGCGGTTTCTGGGGCTCCTTTCCTTATTGATCCCAAGCTTTGCGACATTCTCTCCACCCATCTCCACTGAGCCCCACCATCCTCAGGCACCTCAATTTCTACCAGTCTCCCCCACTATCCTCTCTCCTCTGTTACTTGCTCTCCAGCTTCTGCCACAGGCTGAGATGACCCTGTTGTGAGCCAGACGCCATCCCTGCCCTGAGGTGGGGAAACCACTGCCACCTGCTGCACCTACCCCCAGCGCAAGGTCCCCCGCACAGCTGGGAAGCCCCCCCATGCCCTGTGAGCTGGTTCTGGCCACCTCTCCTGCCCATCACCTTCTCCCTCCCTGCCCCTTCTTGCCACTCCTGGACCCCATCAGCACGCTGCCCCAGGGCCTCTGCACACGCTGGCCTCCCCGCTGTCCTGCTTCCCTCCAGGGTTTTGCTTTCTGGCTCTTCATGCTCAGGCCCCTGGGACCTCCTGGACCCTACTGCCAGCTAGATGCCATCACATTTCATCAGCCCCTCTTTCTTCTTTGAAATGGTCTCATTCTGGGGTTCATTTTCTGGCTCAGCGTCTGAGGCCCTCTACAGGGAGCCCTCGGCAGGGAGCCATCCCCTGAGGGAAGGCCGCACCTGCTGTGTTCCCTGCTGTCTCCCTGTGGTGCTCCCTGCCCCGGGCAGCGTGTGGGGAGGAGTCAGTTTCCTCCGCCATCAGTGGCGCTAAAGAGCCCCGTGAGGGATTTCTGGATGTCCCTGTGTGCCCCCTTCCTGCCCAGGGAAGGGCTCCAGAGGGGACCGCCTGCTATTTGAGTCTCTCTTGGGGATGCAGGGATGCGGCACCAGGGGGCGCCCCAGGCCTGGGTCACTGCGAGCGAGCGGGGTGGGGCTGGAGGGCTGTGCGGTGGGCGATGCTGGTTAGACTCTCCTTCTAGGAAGTGAGGTGATTAGAGGTGGTGGCTTGAGAACAGTGTCCGGGCTTGCCCAGATGACACCGGCAGCCCAGGCCGGGCCCCCGGGTGGCTTGGGGGATTGCACGTCTGTGCACGACGTCGTACTTCTCACCTGTGGTATGGCGGACACGGGGGTCGGGATTTAAGGGTCACGGAAGAAGCTGGTGAGATGTGACCACAGCTCCCTTCCCAGCACACACGCACACACACAAGCGTGTATGACAGCCACACACGTGTGCACCACAGCCGCACATGTGTGCACCACAGCCACACATGCACACCCCACACATGTGCAAGCAGACACAAAACACATGCAGCAATGCACAAATACACAAGGCACACGCGCACACATGTGCAACACAACCACATGTGAGCAAGCAAACCCACAAATCACACATGTGCAAGCACACACAGCACATAAAACACACGTGTGCACCCATGGCTACACCCTGTGCAACACAACCACACATGTACAAGCAAACACCCATGAATAACACGTGTATGTGCGCACACACCCCTGCATGTGCACACACAGGCACACACCCACGCTTGCAGACAGGACGTCCTGGAAACATCCGGAACACCCCTGTGTCTGCACTGAGGGGCCTTGGGGCCGGCCCGCCGGGGCACACAGACAGCGGTCAAGGGCGAGTGTTGTGTATCCAAATTTATTCAGTCGAATGTTCAGTCACGGTCCTGGGTGGAAAACATTCACGTTTTTAAAAAATGGTTTCCATAAAAGGATTTTTGGTCATCACCTACTTTTTAATACAGTATTTATATACAAAAAACCCCTTTCAAACTACTTACTGTACAAGAGAAAATAGAAGCATCAGGCTGCGTGATTTTAGCAAATAACGCGCGTCTGCCCCCACGGCCTTCAGAGCTGGCGGCTTAGGGGGTGTGAGGACCCGGCCGCGATGGAAGACGCACGTCCCCCGCCCTTCTCTGAGACTCGGCTTTTTAGGCTTCTCGTGGTGCTTGAGAAGTTTCAGGTAACCGGTCAGTCTAACCGTTGCCAGTTCAGATCCCTCACAGCATCTACAAGACTGATTTTTACAAACTTTTAAAATGATAATTGTCCAACAGTCTTATTCCTGTAAGTAAAAATATAGAGAAGTGTTACCAAAATAGAAGCCTTTATTAATAAAAATCTTTGGTAGACAGTATTTTAAGTTCCCTTGATGATATCTGGTTAGCGAATGAACTCCTCCACCTTTGAGCGACAGAAAAAAAACACAACCACCCTCAAATCCACCACAGAACTGATCAGAAAAAAACCCAGCCCAATAAATATTCTAAGGCGAATGTGTCCCTGGAGTCTCGAGACCTGCTGAACCTTGAGCCCTCGGCAGGCAGGCCCCCGAGTGACCTCTCCCTGCCGGGCCTCCTGTCCCCTGGTCTTGTCTTGTGGGAAGGATGGAAGGTTCTAGGCCAGCTCACCAGGAAGGGGGAGCCGGGGTCTGTCTCCTGCTTGATCAGAGACCCGCAGCCCCTGTCTCCCCAAGAAGACTCTGGATGGTCCCCTGGCCCCAGGGCCGGGGTCCCTGCCTTTCTGACCAGGGTGCCCCCGTTTCTGAGCCGAAGAAAGAAGTTACACGACAGGAGCGCGGGACGCCCTCTGGAGCCGGCTTCTTCCTGACTGAGCTCTCGGTGCTCCCTCAAGCAGGCCTCCAGCTTTGGCCCAGGCCCGGGAGCCCTTCGGCACGGCCCTCAGGGCGCCAGGAGGGTAAGGGAGATTCTGGAGGCCTCTGCTCCCTTCCACTGCAAGAGAACCGCTCCTGCCAACCACCTGCATTCGCCACGCGTGACCCGTCCCCTGCAATCATTTTGATTAACCTCGGCTACTGAAGATAAAAAAATTCCCTGCATCATGGTATCATGGTTTTGTGCAAAAACAAGGGGGAAAAAAAACAACAGAAAAAAGGCTGAAATGTCCTGTGGCCAGCTGGTCTTTGCCAAAGTGGAGCCCCAGGGCAGGTGGCGAGCTGGGGCAGCTACAGGGCGCCCCCGGGGCGCTCGGGCCCTGAGGCGGAGGCGCCCTCTCGGAGGCTGTCCCGGCCCGCCCTGGGGTGGTGGTTCTGGCAGGGCTCCTCCTTCTCGCGGGCCCGGTCCATCCACGAGTCCAGCAGCTGCTGCTTGCCCTGCTCCTCCCGCATGAACAGCTCCACCATCAGCACCTTCTCCTTGTGCACCTGCTGGCTGATGTCCTTGGGGATGTCGGGGATGACCCAGTCCACAAAGTCGCTCATGAACATCACCAGGTTCTGGAAGGAGAGTCAGCATGTGGGGCGGGGAGCCGGACCCCGCTGCGCCCCTCTCTCCCACGGCCACGACCCTCCCGGGGCCGATTCCTCCAGGCCTCGGGTGGCCAGACCCCTCTCAGGCACCCCTGGGCAACCTCTCCAGGCACTGGGCCCCGAGGCTGCCGGCTCCAAGCCTGCTGCCTGGCCGCTCTGGCAGGGACGGCTCCCCAAGCCTCAGTCTCTGGAGCCAGTGGGGCCAGCGCACCTGGAAGACGATGACGAAGGCCAGGCGTGCGGCCAGCACGGCCCAGAAGTCCTTGGAGATGTCGTACTTGTGCTCCGACCACGGGGGCTCCCGGTAATCCTTGTACCTGCAAGAGCCGCGGGGAGTCAGGGCGCCGCCCGCGGGGCGCTGGTGGGCATCAGGAGTCCTGGCCCCAGCCCACACTGAAGCCGGCCGGCGGGGCCGCTGGGGCTGCAGGGGGCTTTGTGGAAGGGCAGGCCCAGCTGGGGGCCGCTGGAGAGGGTTCTGGAACCATCTGGCTCAGGGCTCCAAACTTTGAGACGGTGGAGCTTTTCTCCAGAAAGAAATCCCACCTGAAAGCTCACACAGCAAGCAGTGCTCTCAGTCGAAGTGGGGTGGGGCTCCCCAAGCCGGACACCCCGAACCGAGTCCACCCCCATCATCTATCAAACTCCATGAAATGCAGCTGAAACCCCTCTGCAGACCCCCTCTCTGTGGGGGTGGGGGGCTGTTGGGAAAAATACCCCACATTTTCTCAATGAAGCTGGTGCAGAAAGTTAGGCACACGGGGCAGCCGGCCGTGGGCTCTGCCCGCAGGCCGCCCAGCCTCGTGGGCCCAGGACGCAGGGAGCCTCCCGTCTGCATCCAGCTGCGGCACTCGCTCCAGATGCCATCAGCCCACCCGGCTTTTCAGCCGTCACTTTCAATATTCCCCCTGGTTTCCTTCGGGAGGGGCACACTCCCCTCGGGCCCCCAGCCCCGTCGCTGGCCCTGGCCCTGAGGAGCACCTGGGGCCTAGGAGACGTGCCCCCTCCCTTCCCGAGCGTCCTCAGCCAAGGGCTCGCCCGTCCCGGCTCCGTCCCCCTGAGCGATGGCCAGCGCCCGGGGCTGGCGTGATGAGAACCTGGGGCCTGTCCCCACTGGGCCCTCCCGGTGCTCCCAAGGCCTGGGGCTGCCACAGGTCTGTGGACACCAAGCTCTGTCGGAGCCTTTGGAAAAAGCCCGGGGCAGGGCGTCTCCAGGCTGGGGCCCGGCTAGCACTGAAAGCTGGGGTCCAGGAGAGGAGAAGGGGTCCACCTGCTCGCGGGCACAGCCCTGGCTGGACCCAGACCAGCACCTGCGGTGCGATGTGAGCTGTGGACGGGCCTCTCTGGGCCTCAGGCCGGCCCCACCAGCCCTGATGCAGCGGTGGAGACGGTGCCCGAGCAGGGAACTAGATGGGAGTCTCCCCGGCTGAGGCAGCCACCCCAGGCGGGCCGGGAGCGGCTTCAGTGCCAGCAGCTTGCACAACCCGTTCTCCGTGGGAACACGCAGCCCCTGCTCTCCCACCGTCACACGCCACACACACCTGATCCTCCCTCTTCCTTCCGTGCTCAAGGCCAACCGCACCGAGATGCCGGGAAATGTGCTTGGGCCACTGAGCAAACTCCTACACACCCCTCAAAGCCCACCTGTAGACCTGCCCAGATGCCACTGCCCCTCGCCTGGCCTGACCTCTACCAGGTGAGAGCTTTCTACTCTCACCAGCTCTCCACCGCCTGCCAGCTCCCCGGAAGGGAAGCGGCCCCTCTGGGGGTGGGGAGCATTAAGGGAGACAGACCTGCCTCAGCACCGGAAGAAACGGTAGCCGGCGGCCATCCCAGCTGCCTGCTCTGGAATGCACGCCCCCCACACCCTGCCCCACACCCCCACCTTGGGCTGGCTGGCGCAGCTCCTGTCAGCAGCTGGGAGGCAGCCTGACAAGGGCGCGGCCAGCGGAGGCGGGCAGCTCCCAGCACCTGCTGCCCATGGTCGGTCGGGGGCCTGGCTGAGACCCCAGTCGCAGGGACAGAGCGGCCGCCCGTCTCCCCTGCCCATGGGGGTGACAGCACCTAGGCACGGACGGACCGGTCTTTGCTGGCCATTCTTGGCTGCCCCTGGCTGCCCAGGACACTCCGCCAGGTGCGGGGTGGAGGCCGTGCCCCACCCAGGCCGCTGCGCCCCACCCAGGCCGCCGCCTCAACTCCAGCGTTTTCACGCCTGAGAAGTGCTAACAGATGGGCCACCTTCCCCTCCGCCCTCTCCTCTGAGCGATGATTCCTCTAAAATGCAGTTTTGGTTACATCGGTCAGACTGGAGTGTCAGGTTGTCCGTGGAAGGTTCAGACAATCGCTAGAGGGTGTGGGCGCCGTGGAGGCAGGCGGCTCAGGGGTCCCCAGGGCCCCTGCAGCCCTGGCCCGGGGCGTCTCCAGTCCCCTCCCTGACTTTCGGCCCCCAGGGCCCCGCCCAGCTGACTGCGGGCGCGGGCACCTCCAGGGCTCGGCTTCCTGGAGAGGAACCAGGAGGGATTCTGGACGTAGCTGTCTGGGTGTGTCCTGCTGCGCCGGCCGGCCGGCTCGCCCAGGCCCCCTCGTGCCCCAGCACAGAAGACACAGGCCCTGGGCAGTGCCGCGGCCCCAGGCCAGGCGGGGGCCCCTTGTCCAGGCCAAGCCCTGCTGACTGCCGTCTCCCGGACGGGTTTCGCTGCGGCCACTTCTGGTTGCCCAGCCCCAGCCTCTGCCCCCTCCATGCTGCCAAGGGCCGGGAGGCACCAAGGAGCTCAAACAGACCTTGGTGGGCAGCGGTGGGGTGGGCAGCTCTCAGGGCAGACAGGGCAGCTTTATGGCAGGGTTTGGGGACGCCTGTCTGGGCCCTGAGGTCCCCAGGCCACAACCTCAGCTGGCTGGGTGCAGTTCAGGCCCCCGTGGGTCCCCGGGGGCTGCCGCTAAGCCTCTCTGCCCGCCCCTCGGTCGTACTGTATTTTCCGGTGGGGCTCCCGTGACACTTTATCCTCTGGGAAAGCCAGCTCAGCTTCCCTCCCACAGAGGCCGGTTCCCTCGGGCCCCCTGCCTGGAGTGCCCTCCCCCGCCCTCACCTGGGCTCACCCTTCCATGACCTGTCAATGCTTCCCCACCTACCCCTGCTCCCTGGAAGCAAGGCTCATGCCCCTCCAAGCACCCCCCCCCCAGCCACTTACCAGACGGCCCCTTACTGGGCTCAGCTGCTGTGCTGTTGGCTGCCCTGACCCCCGCTTTTCCTGGGGGCCCCCGAAGCCATGCGTCTGGCCCATGAAGGGAGCTTGCAGGTCTGGCTTCTGTTTCCCAGTATCTGTTACCCCTCCTTGGAGTCCAGACCCCCATCGTTCCTTGCCCCCCGCCCCCATGCTTCTACTGCAACCCCACACCCTGGCACAGGATCCAGGTTCAGTCCACAGGGGCCTCCACCCCCTGGAAACAATGCATGGCTTTGCATTGTTTTTCATGGCCGGCCTGAGGCCCAGAGAGGCCCGTCCACAGCTCACATCGCACCGCAGGTGCTGGTCTAGGTCCAGCCAGGGCTGTGCCCGCGAGCAGGTGGACCCCTTCTCCTCTCCTGGACCCCAGCTTTCAGTGCTAGCCGGGCCCCAGCCTGGAGACGCCCTGCCCCGGGCTTTTTCGTGACCCAGGTCGGGGAGGCTCAACGCCGGGACTTTTGCTGTTATTGGGGAAGAGAAATTCCTCCCACTGGGATGGCTGGGCAGAGAGGCTGTAAAAGCGGAGCTGCCTGGATCCCTTTCTCCTGGAAACCAGTGCCGACATGGAGGAGGCAAAGCTGGGAGGCCGGCCGGAGTGGGGCTTGGTGGCAAACGGTCGTGCCTGGATCCAGCCCTGCCTGAAGCTGTCCCAGACTTTTAAAAGAAACGAATGTCCTACCCCTACTCTGCCCCAGTGATCTTTTTTGTCTTGAATTAAGATCCTGTTGTTGTGTGAAAGAAGCCGGGTGGGATAGGGTTTCCCAGAACCCCTGACGGCGGCTCCCGAGAGAGGGGCGCAGAGCAGCACCTGCAGAGCTGCACCTCGTAGCCCAGCTCCAGGGGGTCGTTGGGGGCCGTGCCGTCCTGGAAGTCGCTGACGTTGAAGGAGGAGAGGGTGTGGTTGATGAAGCCATGCATGGTCCCGTTCTTGCTGTACATGTAGAGGTACACCAGGCGCGGGATGAAGTCCGACGTGAAGGAGATCACAAATGCCTGTGGGCACAGAGGGTGAGGGACTCCAGGGGGCAGGGCCCTGTGGTGGCCAGGCGACCGTGCCCATGGGTCAGCAAGGTGGCCTGGGCGGGTTGAGAGGATGAAGGAAGGGTGGGCACGGCCTGGCAGGCTGAGCGTGGGGCCAGGGCCTGGGCCAGGACGCCCCAAGCAGGAAGCTGTGGGGACACGGGCGGCCTCTCGCTGGCTGTGTGGCCTTGGGAGTGTCACCTAACCGCTCTGTGCCTCCGTTTCCTTCTCGTGCAACGGGGCTAACCATGCCCGCAGCTCGGCCTCGGAGTCCTGCCTGGTTTGAATGATGATGCGAGGAGGGAGAGGGAAGGTGCTTTGTACGCTGCGGGGGGCTGCGGTCCTTGTCCCGGGTGAGCTCTGTCTCTGCGTGTGCGTGTGCGTGTCGGGGGCGGGGCACTGGCAGGGTTCTTCCCAGCCCCATGTTTTAGCACTCCCACATGCATTTTATGTAAGTGGCAAAATTAATTTTGAGAGCAAAAGACCAGAACAATTGCCAGTGAGGGGTCTGCCTCTCTGTGTCTCTGCATCTCTCCCTCTCCGCCTTGGTCTCTGTCTCTGCCTCCCTGTCTCTCTCTCCTGGTCTGTCTCTGTGTCTGTCTTTGCCTCTTTGTCTCCCTGTCTCTGTCTCTCCCTCCTGTCCCCCTCCCTCTCTCCTTAAGCTCCCCCCACCCCCTGCACATTCTCCGGAAGAGGGACACAAGGAATGCCAGGCCGCCTGGTGGGGGGTTTTCTGCAGCAAAAGGTGGGAAGACCTGAGCCCCTCTGGAGCTTGCCCAGCTCCCCCTGCGTCCCACATCACTCCTGGAGGCAGCGCCCTGCCATCTGGGGCCCACTCCCCTGTGAGGGGTGCCTGTGGCTGCAGCCGTAGGGTGCCCCGGCCGACTCCCGGGGGTCACTTACATTGATGATCACAGCCAGCTTCCCGACACCTCTGAGAATGTTGTACCAGATTCCTGGGGAAGAGAAGCACAGTCTCGAGGGCTGCTGGCCCTGGCACCCGCTGACCCCACCGGCAGGGGTGTCTTTTGGGGCCTGGACTGGACGCCTGCTGACCGGTCTTTCCGGGAGGCTCCGCGCCTGACTGCAGCAGAGCCACAGCTGAGCAGAGCAAGCTTCTAGCAGGGATGCCTGCAGACAGTGGGCCCCGAAATGGCTGACACCCCCTCTGGGCGCTCACTGGCTCCGATGAACCCTTTCTCTACAGACAAGATTCTACGTGGGTGCAGCCTGTGTCCTAAGGGCGCACCCCCAACCTGAGGGGGGTGTCAGTTCTGGACAGGAAGCAGCAGGGGCCCTGCAGTCCCACTCGAGTGGGGCTGGGTGGAAAGTGAGGCTGTTGCCCAAGCCGAGGCCAGACGCTCCTCCAGGTTCTACCTGTTCTCAGGGTCTACCTGGTTCTCAACCTGCTCTGCTACCGTGATGGGAGCGGGCTGCTCCGTGGGCTCTGCTCGTACCCCTAAACGCCTCCCCCGGAGAAAGCATTTGGGATGCAGGTGAGCGCAAGGTGGTGCTGTTGGGGGCGATCCTTAGAGTCAGCATCTGGGCCGGGAGGCCCCCCCCAAGCGCCGGGGAGGCTGCCAACTACACCCCGGCCTCTCTCCTGGCCCTCGCACGGTGCCGGGCATACAGGGTGCAGTGCGTTGGGTAAATGTTTGCTGAGTGACTGTATGAGCGTAGAAAGACTTTCTAACAAGACTCTTCCCAAGGGAGCAGAGGCTGGGAGTCGGGGCCTCCATCCAGGCACAGGGCCGCTTCTTCAGGATCATCTGCTGCTTAAAAAATGCTAGTCGCTGTCTAGACACCAGGTTGATTTAATTTAAAATCTGCACTTGCACCCTGAGACCCGGGCTGAGTCAAGGCAGGCCTCAGGGCTCCATGGCCACAGCGCCCCCCTGCAGGTCACCGCGGAAACTGACTGTGGAATTTGTGTCCAAACCCAGACCCCACCAAAGTGGGGAGACAGAAAATTCCAAGGGGAGCAAGAACATCCCAGTGCGCCCAGGAAAACAGGAACGAGCTAGTGCTGTGAGAACAGCCCCGTGTGTGCCGCTCAGCTCAGCATTCACAAGGCCCGCCTGGCCCTATGGGGTCCGAATTCGAGACCCCTGAATTGGGGTGCTGGGAGAGGGTGAGGCCAGGCAGGTTGGGGGTCAGGGCCGGGGGCCCCTGGTCCCTGGGCTCAGCACGCCGGGAGGGTAGGACTTGGGGAGCGAGGAGCTAGCCTGCAGGCCACGCAGGTGACCAGCAGTGGCTCAAGGATGGCGGGCACAGGGTGCCAGGCGGCAGACAGGGGCTCCAAGCCTGTGCCCCGCTGCCTCATAGGGCCGGCTATGGCCTCTGCGATCCCCACACCAGAATCCTGGCGACATTTTAAAAATGCCAAACCAGGAGGCCAGTCCTGGGGTCAGCGGCTCGGGGTCCTGAGTCCCCTCCCAGTGTTCATGGGCATGGTCCAGGGCGGGGCCACTGCTCCGACGACCTCGAGGTGCGAGGGGCCAGTGCTCTTTGGAAACAGTCTTCGGGGTTCCTTTGGGAGAACCTCACGGGGACAGCTGCACCCTCCCCACGGTCCCCCTGCCATCCCAAGGGGTGAGTTTACCTCTAAGAACATGCCAGGGAGGCCTGCCCCAAGCTGCTCCCTGAGGAGCTGTGCCCCCAGGGGACCCCCTGGAACCTGCCTGAGAGCCTGGTGCCAAAGGTCAGGGCCGGGAGGCTGGAGCGGACCCCCAGGCAGGAAAGGGGCTGGGGCCTCCCAGCCAGCCGCCAAGCCTCCCTCTCCAAGGCCGGCTGCAGTGGTGGCGGACTTCCGCCAGCCGCCCGGCCCTGGGGTGCAGGTCATGGGGGCCACTGAGGCTCTGTCCCTCGGGCCCTGCACGGATCACCGGAGGAACACAAAAGCCTCTTCAGGGAAAGGTTACAGTGAAGGAAGAGCAGATGACGCCTCGGCCCATCAGGCAGGAACCAGGAAGCAGCTGCTGATCCCAGCCGGGAGGCACGGAGCCCCGAGCAGAAGCCCCAGGTGGTGGGGCGGGGTGGGGTGATGAGGCCCACAGCACGCTGTGGGCCTGGGGCTCCCCTTTGCTTTGGTGGGCTTGCGGGGTCAGGGATGCCGCTGCAGGGGTCGGCCAGGTCCTTGCCGGGGAAACGCTCCAAAGCAAACACAGGCCGCGGTCCGCCGGGCCTGAGAATCGGGCCTTTGTGAGGAGCCGTGGTGGGGAGGCCACGCTCTTTTCTTTCCGCCCGGGCACAGAGCTCCGGCATTCCCAGGGCTGCCCAGGGAGCCCTGGCAGGCCGCCCTGTCCTCCCTTCTGGAAGCCTCTTGGCTGCGGTGCCAGCTCTTCAGGGCCAACCCTGTCTCCGGGGAGGGGCCAGGGAGAGCTGGCCGCTCGGTTCCAGCCCAGAGCTGGGTCCCACCTGGCCTCGGGCTCCCCACCTGGAAAATGGGACCCAGACCCCACAGGCCCCCGTGGACAGCCTAGGTCAAGACCAGGGCCAGGCCCATCTGCCCAGGATGCTGGTTCTCCAGGCGGGGGCTGAGCTCACTAGAAATCTGCACTGAAGGTCACCTTGACCTTGAGGGGGACCAGCTCTCCCCAAGAATCCAGCAGGCGCTGCTGTTTGCCCACGAGCAGAGCGGATTTTCATGCTAAATGTGAAATGGAGAAAGGGAGGGACTTAGCTTCAGGGGGGAAATGGCTCCTTAAGGTCTGAGGCATCCCCTCGTGGCCCGGCTCTCGGTTGTGCGGTGGGAGGGTGGCCCGCGGCTAGCAGGGGCTCTTTGGGGGGTTCAAACCTTTTAAAATTTCAGACAAAATCCTATAATGAAGTCTGGGAGGGAGGGGTCTCTCGGCTGAGTCTCCACCAATTATCCAGGCCCCCTAACAGGTGGCGGAGGGAGGCAGAAGGTTAACACATAGGGCGGGACCTCCGGGCCGAGCCTGGCTCCAACCGTGCTGAGTCTGGGGCGCCGAGGTGCCCAGCCTCAAAGCCTGGCCTGGGTCTGACTGCAAACCCCAGGCTGAGGCTGCAGGGGGAGCGGGCGGAATCACTGCCCCCTGGGCCCCGGTGAGCGGCGGGATTGGCACTTCCAACAGAGCTGAGACCGCAGGTGGAGGGGCCGGAGGGCCGCGTTCTCAGGGAGGCAGATGGGAAGAAGCGGCCGGGCTGGCGGCGTCGGGGGCATGGCCCCAGAGGCCAAGGCACCGGCCCAAGATCCCCGGTCAAGCGGGGCCCGGTCAAGCGGGGCCCGCGCAATGGAGGCGGGAACGCGGGGCAGGGTGGGGAGGCGTCAGAGGCGTCCTGGGGGCTGGGGTGGGGGGGTTCCCGCCACGCAACGGGCCGCAGAAGCCCTTGGAAGGATTGAGTGGCCGCCACGTCGCTGCAGGATGCCGCTAGGTCTGTGGGAGCCCGGCCCGAGACGGCCCCCCGCGCCTCCCCCCACTTGGTCAAATAAGCAGCACCCCTGAGCGGAACCTAGTCTTGAATGCACGTGGGCGCTGCTCTGCCCAGCGCCGCGCTCGCGGGGAGGAAACGTATTTCTGTAACTTTCCATCACATTTCAAGATTAAGTCCCTCAATAAACTGTTTGGTTTTTACCCCGAAAACTGGGTCCCGGTAATTGGATTTCCTTATGACGGGCCCATCCCCACGACCGCGGGGGCCCAGGGTGGGCGTCGCCGCCAGCAAGGAGGCCACGCGACTCCCCGGACTTCGAGGAAAGTCAATCCTCGTGCACGTCTTCAAACCCCAGCCCCGCTCTGAGCCCTTGTCCACGCGGCGAGGGAGCCCTTTGTGAGGGGGGCTCGGCCCGGCTGCTCCCAGCCCCGACCCTGCAGGCCCGTGAGGCCTTGCTCGTCCCGCCTTCCTGCCCTGCGAACTCGCGTGGGCAGCCACCTGCTGGCTCTGTGCTGAGAGGTCCCAGGGCCGCCGGGGGGGCCTCCTGGAGCAGCAGCTACTGAGACCCTTGACACCCGGACACCAGCCAGCGCTCCCCGAGGCCAGCACACCTCTGAGTAATGAAGAGGTCGGGCTGGGGCGTCAAGGAGCCCTGGGGTCTCATATCGCCCTCCCCACCCCGAGTCTCTGGCCAGGAGAGGCCCTGCGGGGGTGCCGACCCCACTTTCCCGGCGCTGACTCCCGGGAGCCCTGCCCAGCCCCGGTCACTCACCGATGTCTTTGGCTCTGACGGCCACCGGCCTCCGCAGCTCGGTGATGAACTTCTTGGCATCCAGGCGGATCTCGATGATGTTATTCAGCAGGGCGAACAGCGGGGCCAGCGGGAAGGACGCCACGAACAGGGTGACGAAGCCGAACTGGATGACTGCGGGCAGGGGAGGCCGGGGTCAGTGTGCCCCACTCGTGGGGCCGCCACCCCCGTGCTCCCCCTGCATGGAGGGGCTCTCCCGCGCTCCCACCACAGCTGGGCCGACTCCCGGCCGGGAGGGGGTGGTGGGAGGACCCCAGGCTTTTTGCCCTGGGCTCTGATGCTGACGCTTTAGTAACAGGCACGTTCGCTCTCATCGCAGAGTGAGTCCTGACACATCACCGAGGGGAGAGGCCCCCGGAGCGCCAGACCCGGCCCATCACCCAGCGTTGAGCAGGAGGGGCCTCGGGCGTGGACAGCCAGAGGTGCCAGGGCTGGGGCACGCCAGCACCCTGCCTCTCCCAGGGCCCCAGACGCCCTTCCATCGGGCTAGGAGGCGGCAGGACCCACTGTGTGGACAGTCTCGTTCCTGTCCTTGCTCACGATGCTCCCGTCACGCTGGTTTTTTCAGCATCAGGTTGTGCAGAGAGCACAAGGCTGGCACCTGAGGTCAGCAGAGCTCACTGAGGGCAGCGGCGTGGGGAGCTGCTTGGCAGTGCCCGGCCAGGGCGCCCGGTGCGGGCAGAGAGCACGGCAGGCAGCAGTGGGCCGAGTGGGGTGGGCCGAGTGCGGCCACTGTCAGCGTGCAGGTGGGGCCTCAGCCGGGTCCGGCCATGTCCCTGGCTCTCCCACGCCCCATGGGGACGCTTCCTCGGGCGCTGGTCTGTTTGCAGGTGGCCAGAGCCGGCAGCTGAGTTGGTTGTGTGGCTCCGCATTGGTGTGAGGGAAGCTGGGGCAGAGGCTGGTCAGCTGCGCTGGCCTTTTCTTCCAGCCTCCAGCTCGTGTGCCGGGGCAGCATGCTGGATGGTGGGGCCCGGGTGGGCTTCCCCTGGGTGGACAGGAGGAGCCTGTCCCTGGAATGTCAGTTCACAGAACCCAAGAGGAACCCGGACCTCCGGCCACGCAGGACTCAATTCCGGGGGTCACTGGCCTCACATCGGCTTTCTTGGTGTCTCTCCTGCCATGGGGTCACAGGCGGGAAGCCCTCCTCTGAGACCCCAGCTGGAGAGGAAGCAGCCCCGGGGGCCGCAGGGGGCCCCGGAGCTTCTGGTCAGCTTGGATTTAACCCAGGAGAAGGCAGGGGCTGTCGTCGGATGCAGAACTGTTGCCTTTTAAGAGTCTCGAGATTCTTTTCTCTCTGAGTCAACGTCAAGGTGTTTTTGCACAATCATCCGGGAGCTGAGAGCCACTTATCTGGAATGACTGGGCCCACAGAGCGCAGGGCGGCCCTCGGGGTGCAAGACAGACAGGCTGGCAGCACCCAGGCCTCACAACCCACACGAAAGCTGCCCGCGGCTGCGCTCTTCTGGTGTTGGTAAAAAATGCAGAGTCCTGGGCCTCAACCCACACGGGGCGGGGGTGTGCCCGGAACCGGCGTGTGAGGTGCACTGTCCATGGTGGCCCGGGGCACCACACCTGCACACTCTCTGCGTGGGTCCACTGGCTTCACTCGCCCGCGCGCTCACTCCCTGAACACACCTTGCGTACCTGGGCCTGTTCTGGGTGCAGGGGCTATGACAAGAACATGTGCAGGGGAAAGGCAGAGGTCACGGCTGTGCAGGGAAGGGGCTGCCCCTTCTCAACACTGTGGTCAGGAAGTCCCCTCTGCTGGGGGACATTCTGAGCTGAATCCGGAGGAAGGGAGAGAGGGAGTCATTCGGGAATTGGGGGACAGCATTCCGGGGGGGGGACACACACAGCCAGTGCAAAGGCCCTGGGGCAGGTGCGAGCCCCGAGTGCTTGGCTAAAGGCACGGAGGCCAGTGTGGCCGGAGCCGAGGGAGCCGGGACATGGGGTCAGGCTCCTAGCCCCCCGCGCCCCCAAGAATGTGTCCCCCTCTGGCCATCCTCCCGCCCAGCAGCACAGCGTGGGTGATGAGGCTCAGCCCCGGTGCCTGCTGAGCGCCGCTCCGTGCGCCGGGCCACTCACTCATCTCCATGTACTCCGGGGTGAGGCCGGCGAAGGGCTCCAGGGTGTAGTCCACCTCGTAGCGCTGCTTCCGCTTCTCGTACTGGACGTGGTCGCTGGGGCTGCGGCGCCTCAGCCTCAGGTAGCGGATGAGCTTCTTCATTTTCCTGGAAGAGTCGGGCCTCAGCGGGTTTCCAGAAGGGTGGGCGTCGGGGGCGAGGGCCTGGCCCCCAACTTGTCTTTCTAATTCTCTGGGCCGGCCAGTGCTTGAAAGCCTGAATGAACGGGTCTGCGCTGGGCCCCCTCGGCCCTTTCGCTGGAGGCAGGCGCCAGGGGTAACCGCCAGCTTGCGCCACAGGGAGACTGAGGCACAGGAAGGCGGGTGCCCCGGCTGTGCCCCAGGGGGGGTCATGGAAAACAGTCCAGAATGTCCCTGGCTCTGCAGGCCGGGCTCCCCCGGGGAGGAGGGACAGGAAGGGGTCCCCGAAGGGCATGCGGGAAGGAAGCAAAGCCGGGGTCTCCCATCTGAGGTCACAGGGAGCCACACGTGGGCTGGCATCCCGCATTCTCAACCTCTGGGGGGCAGGGAGCCGTCCCAGCTGCCTCTGGCTCCTCCTCCACACAGGGGGGTGGCCCCCCATCTTCCCCTGTCCCTGCTCCGATGCCCTGGTCACCTACCCGCCCCCCCCCCCCGCCCCTGGCCCCGCCCCGGCCCCCCGTTATACTCACGGGATGCCGATCTCAAACAGGTTGTTCTGGATCAGCTGCTTGCCCAGCATGATGATGCTGAGCTGGATGCAGAGCTCCATCAGGCAGCCCCCCGGGGCACACTGCGGGCCGAGAGTGCGTCAGCCCCCACCTGGACGGCCCACAGCAGGGAGGCAGCCTCCCTCGGGGCTGCTCCCTGGGGCTCAATTGTGTCCTCCCAAAAGGTGGCCTCCCCCTCCTCACCGGGACCGCAGAATGCAGCCTTGTTTGGAAATAGGGTCTTGACAGACGTGACCAAGTTAGACGGGGCTGGAGGGAGCAGGCAGCCCTGACCCAGCGGCGGGCGTCCTGTAAGAGGACAAGGCCTGGGACATGCAGGGGGTGGGATGCAGGGACACGGAGGACAACCAGTGTCCACAGAAGCGGGGAGAGCGGCCTGGAAGGGACTCCCAGGACCTGGGCGGGGGCACAGGAGAGAATGAGTTTCTATTGTTTGCAGCCACCTAGGCGGTCGGCTGCCCCAGGGCTCAGATGCCTCACCCCTGGGTGTCAGGCTGGGGCCAGGCTCAGAGGGGAAGGGGCAGGGTGAGGCTGGGCCTTGGGACTCCTGTCCTCAGGGCCAGCCCTATCCCGCACTGGCCCCTGTCCACAGGCCCAGCTGTCCCACATGCCCTTGGGAAGCCACATGCGGGGCAGCTGGTCCCCCCAAGGCTGACACCCTCCCTCGCCCTCCCTGGGCTGTGCTTGGGTGATGGGTGGAAAGGGTGACTTGTCCGAGCAAAGCGAACTCAAAAAATGCGTCGTGTAGACTCACTGTCTCATAAATCACTGAAGTGCCACCCTTGGCTTTACCCTATTCTACAAAGGCCTCTGCCAGCCCTTCCAATCATTGCTGAGTCTGGCAGGGTATCAACTAAGGAGACGCCTCGTGGAATGTTCCAGGCGGCACTTCATGGCCTTTGCAAACACTGGACGAGCCCATGTGTCGGGGTGTGTGGGGGCTGGGAGCTCCCCAGTGGTGGACTCTCCAGGCAGAAGTGCAGGAGCCCCAAACCTGGTAGCTGCTCCACCCTGTTTTATTGGGTTCTATTGTGAAGACCCTCCCCCTATTTTCCAACAGGCGGAGTTATTCTAGGAGTTGGAAGTGCTGACCCCCCGAGACCTGAACCGCGGAGAGGCCCGGGGTCCGGCCTCGCCTGACGGAGCTGCTGGGGCAAGTCCAGGAGTCCGGGGTCAGGACTCGGGCCGAGGGGCCTGGTGCGCCGGGCAGAGCCCCATGCTGGGCAGCTGAGGAGAAGCCAGCGGTCCCCAGCACTGTGCCGGGGAGGGAGGCGCTTCCTTTTCAGGTAAAAAAAAAGCTGTGACTGAGTTCTGATCTTTATCATTGAATCACCTCAGCAGCGCGAGAGAAGCCTCACGGTCTTGCCAAAAAAGAAAGGAAAACTGGGGGCCTCCCTAGTGGCGCAGGCGGTTGAGCGCAGCGCTGTGAAGCTGTCCGCAGCCTCTGCAGCGCCGGTTCGATCCCTGCTGGCCTTGGAGCAACGACATGGCGCGGCAGACCTGTCTCGCCCGCTGCTCCCCTCAGCAGTGCGTTTCAGTCAGTCTGCCTGTTCTGCTCCCCGCTCTGTCTCTGGGGAATCCTCTCACCCTCCCGTGCCTCTGGCCTGCACCCAGCTCTTGTATAAATAAATAAATCTTTGAAAAAAAAATAAAAAAAAAAGGAAAACTGGGTGTACGTCTGGACTTTTGGGCTCAGAGACTTTTGTCTTCCATGGCGATCCTATCTGGACACCCCAAAGAGATGGACCCCCAGGAGGAGAGCAGAAAAGGGCTCCCGCGGTGGGGAGCAGCGGCCGCAGGTAGCGGATGAGACCCACGTGCCTCTCCCACTGGCTGCGAGGACAGAGCTGGGAGCAGAACGGGGCGGCGGGGCCTCCTTACCTCTTCCATGCGGAAGGAGCGGAAGATGTACACGTAGTCGCCCGGGCGCCCCACGAACCTGAAAGGCGGGCAGTCAGGGCGGGGGCAGCTGGGGGTCCTGGGGTGGGCCTTGAGGGGCCCCCAGCTGCCCAGAGCTTTGGGCAGCAAGACTGAGCTGCCCTAAGGCCAGTGCTCCGAGTCCCCACCCTGGGGGAGGGGGAGAGGATGCGATGGGGGGACCCGGGACCCCGCTATGTCCTCAAGGATGCTCCCTAGGGCCGGACTGGGGCCCTAGGAGAGGGGGCTGGGCCCGTCCTCCAGGCAGGATGGGCGGGGTGGGTCTAGGTGTGGCGGGTCAAGCCCAGGGCGGCTCCCGCGGATCCAGGCTGGGGGCCAACATCTCCACAAGCCTGGAGCCCAAGCTGCCAGGGGCTGTGCTTTGCATGCCTGCTTCGCCCAGGCCTCGCCCTCTCGTCACCCCAATCCAATGTGGGAGCACCACGTCCCCGCTGCCTGGGGTCTCCACTTTCTGGGGTGCCCACTATGGGGGGAGCTTGCTGTCCAAGATCCCTCCTGTCTGGGGTGCTGCTGCCCAGGACCCCCGCAGTCTGGGGTCCCTGCTGCTCCGGCAGAGCCGGGCGGCGGGGGCGGGGAGGGGCACCTCCCCTGGGCCGGGGACAAGCTGGGGACAGCAGGCGCTTCAGCTGCGCAGTCCCTACCGGCCTTTGAAGAAAGCCACGTAGAAGATGGGGGTGTAGGAGTTCACGAACTTCAGCAGGAAGGCCTTGAAGATCAGCCTCTCCTCGAAGCTCTTCTCCGTCTTTGGAACCTCTGGAAGGAGTGAGGGGCAGCTCTGAGGCCAGTGCGGGCGCTGCCCATGCGGCCCCCGAGCCGGAGGCCAGAGCCGGTGCTGACCCCGGGTGGCCCGGGCCCCGCCACTCACCGATCTTGGTGAGCCACCTGGCGATGCAGCCGTACACCTCGTCCAGGAGGATGATGACCACCAGGTTGATGATGACCGCGGTGGCCGTGACCGTGACCCGGATGTTGGACCGGACAGAGGGGGAGGAGTTCATGGCCAAGGCCGCGGCCGTGGAGATTCGATAGATGATGACCCCCAGGACGATGGCAAAGGTGACTGCGATCTGCAGGAGGCAGGAAGCTCTTGGCCGCGGCCCCCGGGGTCTCGTGACACATTCTGGGGTGGGGTGTGGGGTCCGATGCCGAGATGTGGGCTGCCCGCAGCTGGGGCTGGACAGCTGGGTAGGGCCTGGCCCAGCTACCCCGACACCCTCTGGCTTGAGCCGACAGCCGCCCCCCTCCCGCCCAGCCCACCGTGGGACCAGAATGTTCCACACAGGCAGGCTGGTGGTCACCCGGGAGACAGGGTGGGAGCTGGCTCTGGTGATGCGTTTTCCAGGGCCTTGCCCAGAAGAAGCCCCGAGGAAAGCCCTGGCCACACTCTGGGTGGCAACCTGGGCACCCTCCGCGGTGACTCAGCCGACGGCACCCTCCAGGAAGCAGCTGCCCACACCAATCCTGATGGAGGGTGAAGCGTGGGCACTGCTCCCGGCCAGTTCTGGAAAGAGGGCTTTCCTTGGAAAATCCCTGGCTCCTGCCAAACGGCCCCTCCCAGAGGAAGGCCCCGCCCGGCCTCGGGCCCATGTGCGGGGGCAGACGGGCGGTGGCCCTGGCAGAGCCACTGGGAGGTGGCTGGCCCTCGGGGTGCACCCCTCCTGCTGGGACAGGGCCGGGGCGCAGGCTGCCGACGCCGGCGTCCCCGCCTGCAGTGCTGGGGTGCGCCTGAGCGCCCCGCCTGGCCCATGGGCACACGCCTGCTGATTCACCTGTGATGGGTGACGGCGCCCGGCTGCGGCTCCTACCCACCATCCCCCCTCCGAGGGTCCTGAGTCCATTTCCCAGGTGCCTGGCGGGTGGAGGGGGCTGGAGAGATGGTGAGCAGTGAGGCTGTGCAGGCTGAGGGGTGGGCAGGTTGCTGGGAAAGCACTTCAAGGAGGGGCTGCCTCCAACACTGTCTCCCTCCCCTTCCTGCCCCGACGTGGAGGTGATGCTGGAGGTGGAGCAGCCGTGTTGGGACCACAAGGCACAGGCTGGGCAAGCCGGTCAGAGGAGCTGGTGTGTGGGGGACACCCAGCAGCCCTAGGGCTAAGGGAGCTGCAGCAGCCGCCCGCCCGCCCCTGCCCTGGCACACAGAGACGGAGCTGCGGGAGCCTCCAGGGAGGTGACGCGTGACCCGAGGCAGAAGGTGCCACGGCTTCCCCGCCCCTCGCTGGTGCTCCTTCCGTGACACGCTCCTCCCCTGCCAGGAGGGGTGGGACCCCCAGCAGGCCCGTCCACCTGGTCCACCTGTCCACGTCCCACCCCGTCCCCCGGCAAGTTGCCGCGTCACTGCTGGTTGTCCGGCACCCAGCCTGGAGCTGGCCAGAGGGCACACCACTAGCATGTCTGTGGCTTGTGCTCAGGGTCCTCCAAGCGAGGCTGTGCTCGCTCCCACCCACCTGGGAGGCCCCACCAAGTGGTCCAGGTCTCGGGGGTCCCTGCCAAAGACCCCTCTCCATCAGCCAAGGTCCCCTGATGGTGTGAGAGCGTGGGGGGCACTGAGTCCTTGTGGTGCCACCACGGACTCAGGTTAAGGGTCACTGGCTCTCCCCAGGTGGCGCTGCCTCCCTGCCCCAAGGTCCAGCAGAGTGGCTGGGCTCTGAGCTGGGCTGTCCTGCTGGCATCTGCCCCGGCCCGTCCAGGCTGGTGGACTGGGAGAAGGGTCAGCTGTTCGGCAGCAGGAGGGAGTGGGGTGGGGACAGCAGGGGTGAGGATGGATGGGTCTGGCAGGGCGCTTGGGCCACCGGGCACACCTGGGTCTGCTGGGGCCTGCGTGTCCTGCCTCTGCCTTCGGGAACTTACCATGAAGATGATGGAGACCAGGTTGGTGAAGTAGGCGGGGAACCGGTCCCTCCAGGTCAGCTTCACCTTGTCCGTCTGCAATGCCAGACCAAGAGGGGTCATGGGGGCCGCCCGGGGGAGTGTGGGGGAGTGCACGTGTGCTTGTGAGCGCATGAGCAGCCGGCACAACACAAACACTCAGAAGATCCTTAAATAAACAACCCCCAGGTGCGGAGGGAACGCAAGTGTAGCTTCAAAGCAGCGCCTGGGGCTGACGCCCTAGGAAGCCACTTTGGTGGAGCCCCAGGCTCGGCCTGCCAGGCGCACCCCAAGATGCATCACTGCCCCGTGGGAGCCGCCAGTCTGGACCCCTTTCTCCCGCCCAGAGTCTCCCTCCCAGGCTGGAAGCCCCAGCTGCGCTGCCCTCTGCCTCCCAGGCCACGTGGTCACCGTCCTCTGCGAGCAAGTTGGGACAGGTGGACGTTACCAGCCCAGACGCTGCCTGCATGGAGTTGCTGGCTGGGACACGGGGCTGCAGGCCCCGGCTCGGGGCCGGCCTGGTTTGGAGGCGCCCCAGCTGTGCCTGACCCGGACGTTCCAAGAACGGGGCGGGTGTTTAGAGGGGGGATGCGTATATTAGGTCAAAGAACGCCACTGCGGGATGGGCGCTCAGCCCGGGGCTGGGGCGGTGGGGGGCATGTGTGTCCAGTCCGGAGCGCGGGCAGCAGGGTGACAAGCGGGTTTCCCAAGCCCCAAGGAAGCCACAGCCGTCCCGAGGCCCCCGCCCGCAGCCATGCAGTGACGTCTCAACACAGCCCGTGGGGCACGGCCGGGGCGGAGAAGCACGGAGTGGACGTTGACCAGAACACAGGTCAGCCTTTGTTGAGGAAGACACCAGGCACCGGTCGCCTGCAAACACTCAAGACCCGCGTCGCGCCCGGAAAGTACCAATTTCACCCCCGCCATGGCTGTCTTAACCCTCTGCTTCCACTTGTTTGGGGGGTCCTCTGGGCTGTGCCGCTGCTTCTGAGGGCAGGCGGGGAACAAGAGCACGGTGGGGAGCGGTCAGGACCGGGGGGCGGCCCCACCGGCCCCGGCAGCGAGCTCCCTGCCCCTCGGTGGACTTGCTGGCAAGGCTGAGTCCAGGGCTGGGGCTCTGAACCAGGAGGAGAGGGTGCAGGCCCGCGTTCTGAGAGAGGGGCAAGGCGGGTGGAGGCTGAGGCTTGGAAGCAGACCCCGCACGAAGCGGACGCTCGGGGGGCTGGGCCCCACCTTTTGCTATGAAGGTCGCTGCCATTTAGACCGTCCCGCAGCGCCTCTTGCTGCGTGGAAGCCGCTCCCGGAGCGGCAGTGGCGTGTCCAGGAAGGGCTGCATCTTTTCTCTTTTTCTCCCTCAGTGAGTCTGGTGCCCCAAACCCAGCAGGTCACCAAGAGGAGGCGGACACAGAGGAGGTGGCCGGCGACTCCCTCCAGGGCCACCGTTGGCGCCCACAGCAATGGGGCTCTCACGGGACCACAGAGCCTTGAAGCAGGTGACACCAGGAGTTGGGGGACAGCGGGGCAGGCCCCGGGAACCACATCACAGCCCAGGCGAGCCCTTGTCTCCCCACAGCCTGTGTTTCTCCTTGGCAAGGGACGAGACGCCCGTCCACGCTCACTCTAAGCGGTGCCTCGGAGAAGCCCCGGGGGACCGGCTGCACACTGGCTGGGGCCGGGCCACAGGGACAGAGGGAGCAAATGGAACCGTGGACACTGGCTCCGGGAACAGCATCCTTCAACTGTCCCCAGCCCTTTGTGAGCTGACGCCAACCCCCCAGCCCAGCAGGGGCAGACAAGGGTCCTGGGCCCCCGCTCATCCTGGGTCACCTAAACAACCTCCATTAAAAGGCTAGCCCAGCACCCCAGAGCTTGGGGGAATTCTGGCTGTGAAGGTGAGGCTGCCATGTTGAATGAGAGGTTGGGGAGAAAGAAAAACGCTTGTTATGGAAGACGGTGACCTCAAGAACGTCCCCGGAACAACACGTCCCTTGTCCTCACAGGCTGTGGTACAACCAGGAACTGGCCATTTGCTCAGGGACCCCATTTGGGGAAATCCCGCCATTTTGTCATTCAACACGGAACACAGTGGGTGGGAGGAATGTCAAGTGCACTTTGAGGAGCCTTCAAAGCTACCCAGCACTTGCAGTTGAAACATGGCCTGAAGCTTAAGATGCACCCCCAGAATAGATTAGGAAGATTTATAGCAGATTTGATCAACTCCAGCTGGCAGGCCAAATCTGGCCCCTGCTCGTCCTTACGAATAAAGTTTTATTGGCACATGGTCTGTGCTACAATGGCAGAATGAAGTGGCGGTAACAGAGGCCAGCCCCTGTCCTGGGGTGTCCCTACTCTACAAGGCTGAACACACATTGGGGAAGGCAACTGGCAGGGGACACCGTACCTCTTTGTTTTTGGATTCCTTCCTAAGCGACTTCTCCAAAACTCTGGCCTCGTACTCAGCTCTGGGGTGGTCCTGTAAGGAAACCAAGTCAACATGGAGCATCTAGCAGTGTCCATACGCCCAGGGCAAGCGCCCCGGGCACATTCAGCCCAGGCATTGGCTTCGGTGCTCTGTGGGGCCAGTTCATAGCTGGCTGCTGGCATGTTTCCAATTTAGAGCCCCCACGCAGCCCAGGACCCTCCCCATCATTTTCACCCGGCCATGGACAGGCCAGAGTGGCCCCATTTCTGCCTGTGAACACCCAGCCAAGAACTAGCCCCCGAGAATGTGTTACGGAGGAGCCGTGGGGTCAGAAGAGACAGCAGCAGAGTCAGCAAGCGCGGGCAGGCCAGAAGCGCCAGCCCCGGAGCCCAGAGGGTCAGCGAGGGCACTGGAAGGGAAGGAGGTTAAGAGAGACCCGTGATGGGAGAAGCAGAGACCCTGCCGTGACAGAGAGCTGCGCGGAGCCGCTCGGGAGAAAGACGGTCAGGCGCGAGAAGGTCCCTCTCCCAGGGAGACAGGCTGCGGGGAGAGAGAGAGTGACAAAAAATTCCAAACCTTGACGGCCTCCTGCAGGGAACCAGACACGTAAAAACAAGAACAGAAAGATTTCATTACTTATGTTGTTGTGTAAGAAGATGGCCAAGTCCTCTAAAGGTAACGAACGCTCTTCAGACCCAGCCTAAGCAGACGGGCACAGGACAAGGGACGGGACGGGACACGGGACGGGAAGGGACGGGACCGCTGCTAAAAGTCGCCACTGCTGCTGGATGGCCCTGGCCTTGTGGCGTGGACATTCCCGGGGGTGGACTGGAGTTTCTTAGACTCAATGAGGAGCCTGTGGCCTTGTGACTGGGCTTGGGCATCTTCCCCACCCAGAGCTACAGGCTGGGGCTGATATCCTGGGGACCAGCTCCCTGAGAAGGCCCTGGGGGGCGGGGGGCTCACTCTGGGGAGCTCACTGTCCAAGGGCTCTGATGGCCACCACACCAAGCACCTGGTCCATCACGGGGAAGAGTCTACCTGGGACAAGCCCCGAGGGCCGGACCAAAGACTAGTCCCACCTCCACCTTCCCAGCCACAGGGACATCATGGAAAGGACAGCCTAAGCCCTATCAGGAGATGACCACTGCTTTTCCTTCCATTTTGATGCAGCTAGAATCTTCCTACTTGAAGCAGCGACCAGGCACAGACCCGTAGGGAGTGGCCACCAGCTTGCAGCCCTGCTGCAGCCCACACAGCTGCACTGGCCTCTGCCTCGCCAGCTCCGTGGACTGGACAGTGCGCCCCACGGACGAGAGCTGAGCGAGGCTGGGGACGTGCCCCATGAGCTGGCGCTGCTCTGGCTTATGCTTTCCCACTGCCTGCTGAGCCCCCTGGGGGCCCCCTCCGCCCCCCACCTGGGGTCATGAGGCACAGAGATGCAGGTGGCTCGCTGCAGGTCACTCCGCAAGCACGGGGCCCAGCAGGTGCCGGGGCCTCGCCGGCTCCCGGCTCTGGACTTTGCCAGCAGAGCCTGCGAGTCGCGACAGGCAGATTCCGTCCGAGACGGAGCGGCGGCTGGGGTGGGAATGTTTGGGGAAGACACTGTTACGCTGCAGTGAAAACGCACGATTTGATCTTTAAACACCAGGAGCGGATGTTTTATAAACGTAAGCAGCGCCATGCTGCACGCTCTTCGGGTCCTGCTCCCCCGCGAGGACGCCGGCCAGAGCCAGCCATCAGGGGCAGGGCGGCCGCAAAGCTTCTCCTTGGAACCCGGGGGGGACTCGCCGTCACCCACTGGCCGCCTGAATGCCACTCTCTTTGGAACACGAGGGCGTCGAGCCTTCCCTCGAGGGACGGGCCAGGGTCTGCCCCGCTGGCCTGCCACCCCGGGGCTGGGAGGCGTGGGCTCTGGGCACCCGGGGCCAAGGCTCTCTCCGCCGTGGGACTCGGCCTCATGGGCGGCGGCGATTCCCGCCCAGCTCTGGCGACCACCCCCAGACGAGATGAGGTCAGTGTGGTCAGCTTGGCGAGCGCCCTGACCACGCTGCTGGGTGGGGCGTCCACCCAGCATCCAGATCAAAAAATGCTTTAGCAGACACCAAACGGTCGCCTGGCAACGGAGGGCGACTCAGACACCAGAGGCCAAGGGAGCGGCAGCAGAGCGGCCTGTCTTTCCCACCTGGGGGTCAGGCGAGTCTGGGGGTGACAGCGCGGGGTGGGGGCAGCGCCAAAGCCCTCACCTCCTCCTCCTCGAAGCCTGTGAGGTCCCAGTGGTAATTGAGCCGCATCTGCTTCCGCTTCCAGTGCTCCATGAAGGTGGCGGCTGCAGGCGGAGGGGAGAAGACAGTCAGCTGGAGACACGCGCTGTCCTCCTTCAGCGTCCCCTCAGCACCGCGAGGAAGTGCTGGGCTAAGTACTTGTGTGACCTGACCGCTCGGCCCCCGGCCACCCGGAGACGGTCCCTTTCCCACGTTATACAAGGGCAAGCTGAGGCCGGGAAGTCCGGGTCGGTGCTCAGCCAGCCTGTGCTCTCCACCATCCTGCTCCCTCGACCTTGGGGCCCCAGGTCACAGGTGGGGGACTGGAGATGGACAGAGTTGGGGGTGGGCTGAGTCCACTCACTCGGCCTCAAGCCCTGAGGGGGCGGCTGAGCTGCTCTACCCTGCTTCCGATTCCCGACAGACCAAACACGGCCAAAGGCCCCCTCCTCCAGGAAGCCTCCGGTCATCCCCTTCATGTTTAGAAAGAAGTCAACCCTTCTGGGGACCTCTCTTGCTCATGCTGTCCACACTGCCTCCTATGACCACCCCGGGGCCCTGTCTAGTTGTGTGTGGAGCAGGGACGGGGTCTCACTCACCCGGTTCCCAGCACACAGCCCAGTGCCCCCCAGGGAGCCTGGGAAACGTAGTTCCCCATGACCCAGCTGTACAGGGAGGCCCCCCACTGGCAGGGACTCAAGCACCAGGGAAGAAGGACGTAAGGATGTGAGGACACTGACTTTCTCCTCTACTCCAACCTCCCTCTGGCCGTCCAGGGAGGTCAGCCCGTGCCCCGCCTCCGCCCTCCTGGGGGGCCCGACCACTGTCTCCCTCCCTCCATGGAGACGCCTCCTATCAGACCTGGGCTGAAGGGCAGAGCGGGCTGGCTGCACCCCACCTGTCTACCTTTCCTGCCCTGGCCGTTCTGTGTCCCTCCATCCCCAGGCACCCCCACCTCCCCGAGCTCACCCCCTCCACTCATCAGCTTGCAGCGTGGCAACTAAGAGCTGCTTTGAAGGACTTCCCGTGGTCCACACTCCGTGTCAGAGTTTCACCAACAGGAGTTAACCTAATCCTCGCGCTAACGCCGTGCGGTAGGGCTGGTTTCCATGTCACACGTTTACGGAGGATTAAAGGCCACGCCCAAGGTCAGCTGCAGACTGGCTGCAGAGACGCAGCTTGACCGTAATTCTGGTGCCCCCCCGCCCCAAGTCTACCCTGAACCACGATAAGTGACCGACCTTCTGCACAGATACTTGATTTTCTTGAAGGGGATAAGAATCGTGGTTATAACAAGCAGTCTGATAATTAGAGTCTGATAAATACAAGTCTGGTGAAACTCGTATTCCCATTTTATGATGAAGAAACAGAGGTGCAGAGAGGCTAAGTAAATTCCCAAGGTCGCTCAGCTAGGCAGCTGGTATCTGAACCCAGGCATTCTCGCTCTAGAATTTGTTCTGTTAACTGTCCTAAGAAATACAGGGGTTCCCTCTCAGAGCCATCTGTAGGTTGGCTAGAACAAAGACTGGATCTGTGGTCAGTCTGGTGGCTGAGGAGCGGAGAAGGTACACAGACGAGACTTGTTGGTCTTAGCTATTTAAGAAATACGGGTATTTTATAAAACATTATTAATGTCTTCCCTTTCCTGTAAACATCAGAAGCATTGACATCAGAGGCTGAAGCTAGGAGTGACGATCCATTTGTCGAAGTTTGGGGATCCCTTCCCTGCTTGGCCACAGACTCCACCAGGCCCTAATGCCTGGGTGGTGTGGCGCAGAGTTAGACATGCTTGTTTCAGAGCACAGGGGTAGAGGCACGGAATTCAGGTCTGGCCGGCAGGGAAGGAGCTGTGCGGGCTCGCACCGAGCTCAGGGGCCAGTCCTGAGACCTCAGATCAAAGCCGTGTCCTGACCTACTTGAAAATTCACCTTTTATCGGCTGCACAGAGAAAGGAAGACAACCGAGTGTCCATCCTTCTGGCTCTGCTCCTGCCCCTCCCCCTTACAGCAGCCGGTGGGCGCGGAGGGGGCGCTGGGGCTGGGAGATGATCCCAGCCCTTTCCCTGTGGTTCCCAATAATCCGTCAACGTGCTGCTCCACCAGACATTACTCACGTCTGGCCGACGTCAGGCAGCAGGCTGGCGCCTTCCAGGCTGCTCCTCCTTTCATCCTTCCCCAGCCCTCGAGGCGGGGAGAGGCACCCTTTTATAGATGGGTAAACTGAGGCTCCAAGGACTTAGGTAATGGGTTAACAAACAGCGAAAACCTGGACCAGATCGGCTGGGACTAAGGGTAGCGGCTTCCTGCCCGTTTGAGGGCGAGCCTGTGCCCAAATCGGTCCAGAGCATGAAAGAAACGAGGGGGTCCACAGAAGGGGGCCAGAGATAGGCCCCCCAGGCCCAGAGCAGGGGCGGCGCAGCCCGGGGTGCAGAGCGGAAGGGGCGCAGGTCAGGGCAGAAGCCTTGGCTTCCGCTTGCCAAGCATCTGCTTGAGTGACACCACGTCAAGTGCACACATTGCTGCAGCGGCGCCCGGAGGTGGAGGGGAGTGAGAGACGCTGGGTCCCCAGGGAGCAAACCCCGGAGTGGGCCTGACACGCGGCAGCCGCCCTGCGGGCCTCGGTCTCCACGGCTGAACCGTGGGCCTCTGGGGCTCCCCGTGAGTTCCTCGCAGCAGAGCACCGGCCCACATGGGGTCCGGGTCCGCAGAGGACCCTCTCATGACCTGCTGAGCCTGCGCAGGGACAAACAGGCCGCGGCCTCCACCTGCTGCCCTTCCCGGGCCAACAACCAACAAAAGGGCTCTGTTTCCCAGAAGAGCCCCGTCGGGGGCTTTCACAGGGGCTTGCCCCAGAACAACCGCACCTCCTGCCCCAGCATGGGCCCTGGAGCTTGCGACAGAAAGGGGGGCCGTCCCCAGCCAGCCCCCCATGCCACCGTGGTCCAGGTGTGCAGGGAAGGCAAGGTGGGACACCCCGACTCGCGCCCTCACCTCCCGGCGGCGGCCAGCATCTTACCCCAGAGGGCCATGAAGACGGAGAAGAAGACCGTGGCCGGGTTATCGAAGAGGTGGCTGGCCCGGGCGGTGGCGCAGGCCGAGCTCATCCTCCAGTAGCTGCAGGTCTTGTCGCAGAGGGGGCACATGGTGATGTTGTAGCTCTGGTCGCACATCTCCATGCTGCAAGACAGCGTGGCCTGCAGTCTTGCCCGCCGGCCCGGGCCCAGCCCCCAGGCACCTCACAGGAGGGAGGCTGGGAGGGCGGGTGCACCACAGGCTGGGCCCCGGCCCCCATCAGGGTTCTCGCCTGGGCCACGCCCACCTCTGTGCCCGGCACCAGCTCAGACGGCTCAGGGCTCAGGACCCCATGCTCACAGGCCCGTGTTAGGCTCTGAGCAGTGCCTGGAAACTCCAGTGACTCCTGAGCTGACAAGGCCCCACATCGTGCTGCAGTGTCTGCGGTGCCTGGTGCAACCCAGCGGACCAGCTGCGTGGCCCAAAGGGGCAGAGGGATTGCAGGGGCACCTGGCAGCAGCCCCCACAGCCAGCAGGAGAAGCAGCAGCCCCTGTGTCTCTAACTGCCTCTAATCGCCCGCTCTCTAGGTCTCCCCATCAGGGGAGGGACACACGTCCTCCTGAGCTGGCCTCAGTGCTCTGTGCACCCCGGGGCACGCCATAGGGCCGCTGGCCTGGGCACAGCCTGGTGCCAGTCCTGGATGTTCCTGGGTAGTCTGGATGCAGGAGAAGGTGCAGAATGGAAGGTCGCCCGGCAGCCGGGCGGAGGAACGTGAGCACGAGCTGCCCTGCTGGGGTGAGACGGGGCCTTGGGGATGCTGGCCCACCCTGCCCAGGCTTGGGTGCTGCAGAGCAGCACACAGGTGTGGGGCCAGAGTGCAGAGCCTCGGGGGGATGCACAGATGGACGGACGTGACGCCCCCTCTGTCCTCTTTGCCTCGCGCTCGCTCTGCCGTGCCAGCTTCAAAGGTGGTCAGTAGAGTGAGCACGGAGTGTCCTCTGGCCGCTGGCCCGCCTGGGAACTGTCAACCCTATCTGCACGGATGAGGAAACAGCCCAGAGAGGGAGGCAAGTTGCTCGGGCCCCACAGCAGACAGGGCTTTGTGCCCAGTCTCTGCATCTGTGAAGCTCAGGGGCTGGCGGGGCTCCCCCGGGTGGTGAGCGGCACCTGGCCTCACTCCACGGTTCCTGCCCTCGCCGCCCCGGTCTGAGTCCTGCACCTGCGACTCAGTTTCTCCTTCTGGAAGATGAGAGGGCCGGGAGGTCCTCCCAGCTCTGGCAGGCCTGAGGGCTCCCCTCCTGCGGACAGGGCGGTGGCATCGAGCTATAAATAGCCCAGGAGGGAGGGCTTCCTCCGGTCAGATGGTTATCTGGGAGCAGGCTCTGGGCTATTGTCCTGGGCGGCTGTTTTGTTGCTAGTCTGGACGCTCGGCCTTTTGTGCAGACCACGGCTGGGCCAGCGAGGGGCTCCGAGGGGCTCTGTCCTGCCCCACAGGGCTGACAGCTCAGTCTTCCCCTTTCTCTACTTCCCCAAATGTTTGTGTAGGACTGTGTGTCCGCGTGTGCAGAGTGGCGTCCGCAGGGGACACGCAGCAGTGAAGCTGGGCCGAGGACGGGCCCCGGAGCATCTGGGAAGCGTGTGTGTACACACATGTGCAAGTGAGGCAGCGTGCATGTGTGCCCTGTGAACGTGCATGTGTGCACATATGGGAGTGCCACACCAGCACGGCCATGGGGGCTTGTGTGAGCCATTCGTGTACATGTGCACATATGTGCATGCATGTGCGCACGTATAAGTGCATGTACAAGTCAGCACATCTGTGTGTACATATGTGTGCACACATGCGAGCCAGTGTTCAGGTGTGTGCATGCATTGTGTGCTGGTGTGTGCACACTGACATGTGTGCACATGTGCATGTGGTCACATGCACCGTGTGTTCATGTCACATATACAATGCTCATGCGAGCCAGTATTTTTGCATGTGCATGTGTGTGCGCATGTGCATCTGAGTCTGCTGGCTAGGGTTTGAATTAGCTCTGCCACTTGTGATCTGTGTGGCCTTGGGCAGGTTACGCAAGCTGCTTGGGCCTCAGTTTCCCCAGCTGGACCCTGGGGATGCTGAGGATGAGGACCACCCATGTGGTCACCAGGCCCGAGGGTGGGGGCCTGGAGCCTGAGAGTGGCCAGTGAGGCCAGGGTGGGCGTCGGCCTGCTTTGAGCCCACGGCTGGCCCCAGCCGTCCCACCTGCCAGCGCCAAGATCCCAGGCCAGACAAAGCCCCTTTTCTGCTGTTTTGAAACGCTCCACCTTTCCCTCACCACCTTCAGCCAAAATAAAGAGCAGGGACGGGAAGCCTGTTCCTTGGCATGGGCAGTGGGGTGGGTCGTGGGCGGCCTCCGCAGGGGCAGGGACACTGGCTTCCCCAGCCCTGGACAGAGTGGCCTCGGAGGGGCACACACCTCCCGCGGCTCCAGCCTTCTGCCAGTGCCCAGGGCCTCCAGGCCCGGCTCAGGCACCGTGTCAGGATGTCAGCGCCTGGGGCGGAGCCTCCGGGCCAGGTCACTGACTTCCCCTGCCCTCCCGGAGAGGAAGGAAGGAAGATGAGGAGTTCCCTGGGGCTCCCGGGGGCTCCCCACCATTCACTGGCCACTTCCCTTGGAGTTAGAGCCCCACCAGGTCTGGGCAACGCTAACCTCCACAGCCCACCAAGCTCGGCAGCCTCATGCCACAGCAGCAAACAGGACAAGCTTTCTCCTGCCGTGGCCAGAACCACCCTGGAGGGTCACAGACTCGGTTCCTTTGCTGTGACTCTGGGAGGGAGACGCCCCAGGCGTTCCTCACATGTACCGCGGAGCCATGAAGACACGTTTCTTTGACACATGGCTCGGGGCCTGCTGGCTAGCTGGAGGGGGAGCTTCCCAGGCCACGCCCCTCTTGGGACACCCCCTCAGGTCGTGAAAGACCCCAGCCGGCGTCCTGGGGCTTTGCCAGGAGATGCCTGCTCCCGGCCTCCGCACCTGGAGACGCAGGCGTCACCGTGGACGCTGTCCTCGAGGGAGGCGGCGGTGCTAAGCAGATGCAGGACTAGCAGATGGAGGACACCAGCGGGCCAGGCCAGGGGCCTCAGGCACGACAGGACAGGGTGCCTGGCCTGTGCTCCGGCTGCCATATTGGGGACCCCAACCCCCACGGGGCTGGCCGTCTCTGGGGTCTGGGCCTGCTTCCGATAACCCCCTTGTGTCAAGTCTGTGTGCAGACCAGTCTGCGTCCCTTGCTGGCCTCTTACGGCCAGAGAGCTTCCCTGTCACAAAAATGACTAAAACTTAAAGGGGAGAGTAAACCTCAGAGAGCCCAGAGGGTCGGACACGTGTCCATCCTTCCTCTGCCTCGGTCCACCCTGCTTCTCCCTGGTCCCGAGAGGACATGTGGCCTTTGCACGGCTGTCAGACCCGTGGGCTGCACGTCCTGCCCTGGCAGCGGGGGCGAGCGGGAGGCAGTGGGGGCTGCAGGCGAGGCAGACGAGGCTCCCGGCAAGGGGCTGTGCCTACCTGGGGATGTTCTCGTCCACCGTGGCGCAGCCATACAGGAAGACGATGATGCCGACCAGGGAGGCGGGGATGAGCATCTGGGTGTACACACCCAGCCAGGCGAAATACAGGCCGATCTTCTCCCCAAAATACTTCCTGGCCATGGGGCAAAGCAGAGGCAGCTCACGCTGGTGCAGACCGGGGCGGGGGGGGGGGCAGCCCCGCCCTTCTGCCAGCACTGGTGGCCCCGCTTGCCACCAAGGGGCAGCAAGAGGGTGGGGCTGGGGACAGGAGACAGGTTTGGGGGTGCTCTCTGCATGCCAGTCCCTTCTCTCTGGCCTCAGAAGGTGGGAGCAATCCCCCTCCCTTGCCGCCATGCCCCAGGGGTGCTGGCTCCCTCCCAAGTCCTGCTGAGTTTGGGCGGGAGGGAGCTCAGGCCTGGAGGCTCCTGGGAGCCGGCTTCTCTTGAGCGCTGGTATCCGAATGGGCTCATGTGCATGCCCGGGGCTGAGCCCCCGGCAGGGCCCCCTGGACACTCACATCTACTCTGGCTCCCCCTCCTGCACCCCGCAGCCTGCCCGGGAGTGACTGCTGAGGGGTTCCTCTCACTATGGCCACGCAAGCACCCCACGCATCACTCAGCCCCAGGGGTCAGGCTGCAAGTCGGAGGATTTGGTGAGGTTCATGGCAAGAACCGTCCCCCAGTGGACTGGAACAGACTCGCATCCCCCGGGGAACCCTGGGTGCCACCAGCTCCACCCTCAGGTCCAGACAGGTTCCCAGGTACTGAAGAGAAACCTGGGGCTCAGTGTGGGAGAAACACGGGGCTCACTTATCAGACTGACGCCCCACCAGGGTCTGGCCCCCACGGCCTCTGCCTGGGGCCACGCCCTTACCTGACCAGGTCGATGGGCTGGTACTTGTAGAAAACCCCGTAGCTCGCCCACTCTTCGTACAGGAGCTGTGAGAGCAAAGGATGCGGGGCTGGTGAAAATTTGCTCACAGTTTGCCCCCAGAATACAGAGCTGTGGGGACCCTTATGATGGGGTCTCAGCCCAGAGCTACATCACGCCTTCGATCAACAAACACTCAGCGTCCACCAGGTGCGGGCCGCTGCTCCCGTTCTGGCAGGAGGACGGGCGTGAGAGCTGGGCGAGGCCTCGCGGGGCCGCTAAGCGTCCTGGAGCACCCATGTGCCCTGCGAGCGGAGCTGGAGGCAGCTGGAGGGGGTTCCCCGAGGAAGAAGGAGCCGGCGTTGTCAGTGGAGAGGAACAAAAGGCGCCTGGCACGCTATGGAATCCTCCACCTCGCGACCGGAGCGGGACGGCGCTAAACCGGCTGACGCCGCGAGCCGTTCCGTGGGGCGCTCAGCCCCCCAGCAGAGCCGGCCTCTGTCCCAGGGGCAGGGACCACCCACTCCAGAGCGGACACGCCAGGGTGAGGGGTCCGGCGTCTCGTGGAGGCGACGAGGGCTCGGCGCTGATCTCCTGAGAGGGGCCACAACGGGGTGGAGGGGCGGGAGGGACGCACCCGCGGTGCCCAGCTCTGGGCTGGGTGCGAGGAGCTGCGGCGGCGCCTGTACGGACACGCCGGCCGGCCCTGGCACATGGCTTCCCGCGGGCGCCCGCGGCCTTCCCAGCCCTAACTCACAGCCCAGGCCACGCGGCTGGAGCCCCTGGCCCGGGCCCCGGCCACCCGTCTCTGCCGGGTCAGACGAGAAGCGGGCAGGAGGCGGGCAGGGATGCCCGGGAGCACCCCACGGCCCCCGTCTCTTCTGTACCCGGCAGCCTGGTTGGCTCTTTCCTATTATCTGTTAAAGTCTCAATTCCTGGGTCTCCCGGACATGCGGCTTCACGTGGCCCGGCGCCCTGTCAGGGCTGCGTGTCTGCGTCCCTCCAGAGGCGGGGTCCCTGACCCCGCGTGGCTTTTGGGGAAGCAACTGAGGTTGAGTGAGGCCGTGAGGGCCAGGTCTGAAAGGACAGTAGCCGGAACCCAAGAGGAAACCCCGAGCGCCCGTCCCCTGCAGCAGGGCAGGCCCAGGGAGAGGCAGTGTCTGCAGGCCAGGAGGCTGGCCCTCCGTGGACACCAGCCCTCCATGGACACTGGCCCTCCACGACACCGGCCCTCCGCAGACTCCAGCCAGCCCTTCATGGAAAACAGCCCTCCATGGACACCAGCCCTCCATGGACACCGGCCCTCCATGACACCGGCCCTCCACAGACACCAGCCCTCTGCGAACACCAGCCCTCCTTGGACACCAGCCCTCCATGACGCTGGCCCTCCGCGGACACCAGGCCTCTGCAGACACTATGACCCGTACTGTGCCCCTGGACCGGGTGGCCAGCTGTGACGCCGGGACAGCAGCCGCTCTGGCTGGGGAGCCGGAACGGCAGGCGACTGTCCTTCCTCACGGCAGCGTGAGCCCAGGTGGCGCCCGGGGTGTGGGCAGCAGAGGGAGGGCCGGGTTGTCTCAGGGTCCGCTCACGCAGCAGGGCTGGCGAGGCCACCGTTTCGCGCTGAACTGGGGGGCAGTCAGCACCACGGAGACTGCACAGGCCCCAGGCCCGGCAGGGCCAACACCGAGGCTGGGCGGCCCCTCCCCCGAGCTGCGGTCAAGCGGCAGGTTTAGGCCAGCCATGGGGGTGGAGGGGAGGCAGGAGGGAGGGGGGACAGAGGGGAGGAGGGAGGGAACAGAGATGGGGGAGGGGCAGGAGGGAATAGGGGGGGGGAGGAGGAGAGGAGAGGGAGGAGGGCCGGGGGCTCTGGCAAGGGGGGGCTCTGAGGGCCGCGGCCGCAGGCGTGGCAGACCAGCGGGCCGGGAGGCGAGGCCGTGTCTCTCTGGCCACTGTTCCCAGCCGCCCGGCGGCCACGGGGGCCCGAGCCACGGGCAGACCCGACGGCCGGGGCACGCCGGGCTTTCCACACAACCCCCTTTACTGGATGGGACCCCCCTCGCCAAGAGCACCCGGCAGCGGCCCCCAAGCAAGTCCAGCTCCAGAGCTCCCGGGGCCCTTGGCCGCCCCGGGGTGAGCGGGGGAGGCCGCGGGGCTGGGTCAAGGAGACCCAGAGCCTCCGGCACCCGCAGCTGGGAGGGCGTGGACGCGGGTGCGAGCCAAGGCACGGTGGCCGCGGGACTGGGCCGGCCAGGAGGGGTCGCCGGTGTCCGGGGGACGCACCCCCAGGAGGAGGAAGGGCCCGGCGAGGGCAGAGCAGGCCGGAAGGACGCAGGGCCCCAGCAGCCCGCGGAGGGGACGGCGCTGCCCCGGGCACAGGCGGGGAGCTCTGCAAGTCCCGGGTCGCAGGCGAGTGCCAGATGTTCCACTAAAAATAACCAAATATGTCACTTCTGCGCTGAACCAGATAGCATCTTCAGCTGGCGTCCCGGGCGGGCAAGTCGCTTCCAGCACCAGAGGCTAAAAGCGCGGGGCTGGGCGGGGGCGGCGCGGTGGGGGGACAAGGCCGCTATTGTGAGGTTCTCAGGGAAGCGCCCCCACCGCCCCATGGGGGTACAGATTGGGGTGGGCAGGACGAGGGGCTGCGCCTCGAGGCCAGGAGGCCTGGCCTTGCTGGGGACTGACAGGGGCCAATGTGGGGGCCCAGGAGCAAGCAGGAAAGAGCCTTCCTGAACGGGGCGCGGAGGGGAGAAGCAGGGCGGCAGCCAGGGCTGGGGAGCAGACCCCGCGTCTGGGTGGAACAGACACAGAGGCTAAGAGGCTCACTCGGTGTTTCCCCAAGTGTGTCCCGTGGGACACTAGCTCAGGAACCTTCCACTAAAAAGGGCCCCGGATCAAGCAAGTCTGAGAAACACTGGCCCCACCGTGCAAACGCGTCCCGTGTTGGGGGCGGGCCATGGGGGGCGGCCAGCGCTTCCCAAACCCATCTGCCGGCAGAGTGCAGCACAGGCCAGCCTGGCAGAAGCCATCTGGGGAGACAGGCTGTAAGCGGGTTGGGGGGTGCGGTGGGGAGGCCGGGCTCTGAGCAGCAAGGCCCCTCGTGACATGCTCTCGAGAGCCCGCCTCGCGCTCTCGGGGAGCCAGAGAGAGAGCAAAGGGGGCTCCCCACCTTCTCCCACGGTGGGGCGCAGAGGTGAGATGGAGAGGGAGTCTCTGCTCTGCATGCCCCTCACCCCCTGCCCCCTGCCCCCTGAAGGCCCCAGCCCCCCTGTCCTCTTGGCTCCCCGCTGACACCCCAGTCTCCCCTGACCCCCACGGGCCCCCCAGCCTCCCCTGTCCTTCTGGCTCCCCGCTGACTCCCCAGACCCCTGCGGGCCCCGGCCTCCCCTGGCCCCTGGCCTCCGCCCCACTCTGCAGCAACTTACTTTCCTGTCATTGAAGTCCACGTTCTCCCCTTCGTAGTCTCCCTGTGACGGCACAGAAAGGGGGGCTCTGGTCACCGGGATGGCGAGAGTCCCCACCGCCCGCCCCTTCTCCTGACGAGGCGGCCCCTGCCCCACAGGGGGGCGGGGTGCGAGTGCCGTGGGCCTGGCTGGACAGGAGATGGGGGCTGGGGGGCTGGACAAATCGGCCAGTCGTGTGGGCCACGTCCCAGCGCCCTGTCCAGGAGGGGCGCTAGCTGTCAGGTCTGCAGAGGCAGGGACCCCCACATCTTACAGAGTGAGGCTCAGAGAACCACGGGCCCTCCTGGGCAATGTGGTCGGGGGCTCAGACCCGGGCCTCCAGATCGGCGGGGCCGGGGGCGGCCCTGCGCCAGAGGCTCACGGCGACGGCCCGGAAGGAGCACAGGACACGGGCTCTGGGGTCCCGATGGGTCCGGGGCCACTTGGAGGTCCCTGTCCCGCCCACAGCTCCTGACACGGCCCCCAGCCCCTAGGCTGGAGGGCGCCCCCACATGGAGATGCCCAGGGTCCCGCGGCGGAGATGCGGGGAGCAGTGTTCCCCCTTTCCTACAAGTCTCCAGGGACCCTGCCCGCAGCCAGCCTGCCCCCTTAGCCCTCCTCCCGAGGCCAGAGAGCTAGACCTCCAGGGGGTGCAGCATGGGCGCCGTGATAATACCAGTCCCTCTCCACGGCCCTCCTGGGGGCTTGCTCTGTTCCCACAGGCGGCTGCAGTCGGGGCGCCGGACAGAGGCTCTCGTCGATGGACAAGAGGGGCTGTGACCCACAGCAAGAGATGGGGTGGGCAGCAGCCACCAGCGCTTCTTTCCCCTGGATGGTGTCGGGGGCGGGGGAGTGGACAGCCCGCAGCCACCAGCACCCTCCAGCCACCCCTCCCGTCACGTCTGTCCCCTGTGGCCCCACCCAGGCTCTGGCGACTGCGGATCTGAGAAGGGGACACCGAGGCTCAGAGAGAGCCAGGGGCTGTGTGCCCCCCAGGGAGCAGGGGTGGGGTGGCGAGGATGAGCTCTGGGGTCCTGCCTCTCAGGCCGCCCCCACATCTCCTGGCTCCTAGTCTTCCTGGTCATGCACATTTGGAAAGTTCCAGAGAGCCTCAGTGCAGGGTTCCCACACTGCTTGGGCCCCACGGCCCGTTCCCAGTGCCCCCTGAACTCTGGTCCCTGTTTCCATAGAGATGATAGGAAGAGAATCATCTCCGTCCGCCGAGCCAGGCGCTCCACGGCTCGGGCTATATTTGTCGGAATCCCGGAGGGATTTGGAGCTGCAGCCCAGGAAGCCACTTGCTCTGCCGTCCAGGGCCCAGAGCCGGGCCGGGCCGGGGCAGGGCCACGGAGGAGCAGCTGGCCGCGAGGGCCAGATAAAGGGGGTGCTGCCCCCAGCGTGCCCGGGTGGGTGTCCTGTCAGAAAGGAGGGCCCCTGCCTGGGGAGGGGGCGGGGCGGGCCACCACTGACATTTAGGGACAAGGGCCAGAGCAGGAAGCCACCACCGCAGAGTAGTTAGAGCTCCCTGGGGGCGTGGCCCTCGGGGATTTGGGGATCAGATGACGCAGGGATGGGCTGTTTGTCAAGGTTACTCACGTCGTGCAGGGGGTAAGCGGCCGAGTAGACGCCGTTGGCCAGCAGACTGGTGATGCCTGGAAACAGAGGCAGAGGCGCGGTCAGGCCCCGGCCTCCCTCGCGCGCGTCCCTCAGGTCCAGCCCACGAACGTCCCAATCACTGAGAACTCTCCCCGGCGGCACTGGGCCCCGCCACCTCGGGGGGTTGCCCGGGAGATGATAAAAACATGCTTGATTGGCAGAATCAGGGGGGCCAGAGGAAACCCTGGAGGAAGGCAGGTCAGGGAGAAGGGGGCCCGGCAGCCCGACTCTGGGCTCGGTCACCCCAACCTCGGTGCCAGCCGGCCGCCCGCGCGGGGCGCGTCTGATCAGAGGTGGATCACGAGCCGTCAGAAAAGCCGAGTCACGGGAGGACGCAGACGGGAGGCGGATGGAGGCGGCCGGCGCACGATTGGAATCAGATTGAGGTTCATGGGGGAAGCCCCGGAGGGTCTGAGGACCCCGCGGGCACTTACCGTATTTACCACATTTCCGTCTTTTACTTAGAAGGGCAGAGTCCTTCTTCCTTCCCTCTCCTTGCCCTGTTTGTACATCGGCTATTAGTTACGGGCAGAGGCTCGGAAAGGCCCGAAGCTGCACTTAGGGGGGGCTCCGGCCAGCAGCGCTGGGGGCAGCGGACCCGGCAGCTGGCTGGGGACCCCAGGCCCTATGCCGGGGCGTCCTGAAGGCACCCACAGCCTCCTGAGGTGGACCGGTCCCGTGCGAGGGTGTGCTGTCCAGGGACCAGCACGATCTTGCTCCGCAGGTCCTAGGAGCCCCGCTTCTGTCTGGGGCACTGTGCCTGGCCCAAGGGGCTGTCCAGGTGCTAAATGGGGGCGAGTTTTCACAGTGGCCTGGCCGGCCCACCCTCTGCTACACTGCTCTTGGCACTGGTGGGCAAGCCTTTCCTCTTCCAGACCTTCCCACTTACAGACCACCTGCTGGCCAGTGATCCAGCAGGGCCAGGGTATGAGGGGTGGAGCCTGAGGGGGTGGTGGGGTGTGGGCACAGGCACGTGTGTGGGGGAAGTCCATGTGTGATAGACTGGACTTAGGGCTGCGTCCGGCTGGCTGGCCGGGCCTACTGGTCCTCGGGCCTCTTAGCACAAGGCTGCCACAGGGCCCTTGCACAGGCTGCCCCCAGGGTCCTGTCTGGAGGCCCCTCTCACTCTTGAGGCTTCTGTCAAAGGGCGTCTCGCCGGGACGGCTTCTCCGATCACTGTTCCCAGGTGCCCTAGCTCTCCCCACTGCCTTCCGCCTGCAAGATTATGCCCTGGCCCCTGTTTATTGTCTGCTTTCCTCCTCCGGAGAACGAGTTCCCTGAGGGTGGGGCCAGAGCTGGCGGCAACACGTCTGCAACCTGAAGAGTCCGTGTGGCGCTCAGGCGGATTTTCAGACCAGGCACCGACGTGCAATGGGGTCCTCAGAAGACCCTCGGTCTCTCTGCTCTCTCACCAGAGCCCTGCCAGAGGACTGGGGGCTTCCAGAGATGCCCGGCCCCTGGACACTGCGCACCCTCACAGCGGCAGGCACTCCACTGGAGGGGTCCGGGGACGCTGGGCCCAGCACTGAGCTGGGGCTGTCTTGGGCCCCTCAGAGGATCCTGCCCCATTGGGGGTGGCCTGGACCTTTGGGGACAGTTTTCCTGGCTCCTCTTGAGCCCGGATGGGCCCCCTCCCGCTGATTTCAGACATGAGTTCGGGGCGTTCAGGCCCCAGCCTGCCCCGGGAGTGGCCACTGGCCATAGTGGCCAAGACACCAGCGGCCCCCACTCCTCCTTGCATCGTGCCTGCCGCCCTCCCCCGTGGGACCCTCCGCCATAGCCGCCGCCTCTGCCGTGCGTCCATTCCCAAGGTGCCCCAAGGCGCCCCGCCACAGAAGCCACAGGGTGCCAGCGGCCAGGCTTCTCTCCCCGGGCAGTCTCCACTCGGGGGACCCGCCCTGCACCCCGAGCCTCGTCCCCAGTTTCAGCTGCTCCCCCAGCACCACGGGCGCCCCCGTCCGCACAGCTCTGTGGGCAGAACGCAGCTCTGGAAGGGGGTGCCAAAGAGCAGCCTGCTCTGTGACGTTATGCTCTGAGCTCAGCCTGCAGCAGGGTCCCCACCCACGGTGGGGGCAGAATCTGCAGGGCGAGGGCTTTGCCTCTGCGCTGAGGTGTCCTGTGCCCTGGGCTCCCCACAGCCCGGCTGGGTGGTGTGAGGGCACCCTCTGGAGCCGGGGTGCGGAGGGCTCCCCAGCAGGCCCTGGCATGCCGCCTGCCTGGGGGCCCGCTCCCCTAAGCAGCCGGGGTGCTGGGTCCGTCCGGAGACCGGCTTCCCGCTGGGCCTTGCAAGTCAAGAGAGGTGGCCAGCTTGTCACCCGAAAGTGGCCAGGATTGACTGCTCTGCGGAGCTGCGGGGGGCCCCGTGGATCTCAAGTCAGAGCAGGGTGAGTCTGCCCAACCCGGCCGGGCACCACAGATGTGCTCCCGCCCCAGCGTGGACTCAGGGCCGCCCATTTTCCCGTCCACATTCGCCACACAGGCGCGAACCCCAGGAGATGCCTCGGAGGCAGCGCCTGAGCCGGGGGCCTCACCCATGCTGTACTTGGCCTTCGTGCAAGTGGTTCTCTTCAGAATCTCGTAGACCTGCAAGACACGGAGGGCGGCGTCACTCCCACGGCCCCTCCTGCGCTGGCCGAAGAGGGTGGGCACCCACCCCCAGGCTGCCCACTCCCCAGGACAGCCAGGGCCCTTTGCTGGGTGTGCCCTGCCCCCCAGGTCAAGGGTGCAGAATCCTTAGGACCAGCAAATGCACGTCAAGGCCTCCTCTCTTTTACTTCCAAAAGCAGGGGTGTGGCAGCCTCCTGGGGGTGCTGGTCGCCCTTCCTGCTGGTGTTCGGGGTTAAGGACAGTGGGGGGGCCCTGAGCACCCACTTCCCATCTGCCCAGGTCATGTAAAAGGTTGGGGTGCACCTCCCTATTGAAACACGGACTAGGGCCTCAGTTTCCGCAGCTGACACCCCACCTTCCTCTCATAACAGCTCTGGAAAGGAAACGGTCAGGCTGGAGAGGGGACTGGCTCTCCCAGGGGCCGGACAGCCGAGAGGAGTAGCCGCCGGGGGCTGCCGGCCTGGCGTGAGCGAGTCCTGGCGCTCGCTGTTCTGAGAAGTGACGCTACGTTAGTCAGCGGCGCGCTAATGACTCCGGCTGCAGCCGCGGCCTGCTCCTGGCGTGGCCCCGGGCGCTCGCTCTTCCACTGGAGCCCGACTGCCCCTGCTCAGATGCAGCCTGGGGGCTCCGAGGCTCAGAAGGGACGGTGCCACCCTCATGCCACCCGCGCCGCTGCCCTGGGTCCTGGGGCTGCCCTGGGTCCGGCTGTGGCTGCGAGGACGCCTTCGGCTCAAGGTCAAGGGCTCCTTGCTGGGCCCCGCGCCTCTCCCGCCAGGCTGGCCTTCCGGGGGGAGGAGGAGCAGCGGGCTTGGCTGCCAGTGCGTTTCTTGTTTAGATAAAAGTTGGGTCCTGGCCACACACAGCCAGCTTGGCGGGTGGACAAGTTGGCAGGGGTGGGTCAACACTGCGCCCGAACCTTCAACAGGGCAGGGCGGCCCGCTCCTCGGACGCAGCCCGCAGAGTGCACATCTGGCCCGGCCCGTCCCGGAAACCTATCCCGGCCCACCTGCTCTCCCTCCACCGCCAGCTCCTGCAGGCTCACGCCACGGGGAGGGGGCGGGACGGGGGCCGCAGGCAGAGGCGAGGACGCCCTGGATGGAACGCACGGGCCCGCCGCCCGCCTAGTCCCCAGAGCCGCCCACCCCCGGGCTCTATTCCTCTCACTTCCATTGAGCTAATTATTTCTGAAACAGACAATTAGAGCTGGCTTCCACCCCGAGGAGTTCCGCTGAAATGAAATTGCTCTCCGTTTCCCAGGCGCCCGTAGCCAGAGGATCCCCGCGGGCCGGCGGAACTTACGATGGTGCTCCGGGTCTTGCTGTCGAAAAATGAATCCTTGTCAGACAGGTCGAATCTGTGGAGATACGGGTGTGGGAGGAGATGCAGTCAGGAGCATCAGGAGACCCCGCGAGGCCAGTGTCCCTGGGAGGGCAGCTGCGGGGCTGTGGCCTGGAGACTGGGGGAATCCGAGGCCCTGGCGGGCCGCCCTCCCCCGGCGTCCTGCTGGTGACACCGCAGCCGGCGCTCTGGGGTCTGCGCCAGCCCCGCCAGGGCCCAGGCACTGCCCCCGCCATCAGACACCCGCAGTGTATCAGCATCTGCAATGGCCAAAGGGCCCCAGTGTGGGCCGTGCACGTCTCCTAAGGCTCTGGGGGGCAGCGGTGTCGCCCATCCCCAGGCCGACGGAGCTGGGAGGAGGCCCCGGGCCTATTCTGAGGGACACAGGCGTGAGGGCAGAGACGGCAGCCAGGCCGGGGTTCTGGAGGGGGTCTCTGCCGGGAGCTGGTTCTGGACCCTCCCTTCTGAGTCTGGTCCCCAGTAGGATGGGGAACCCTGCAGACAGAGACGCCCCGGAGCCCCTCCGCCCAGCGCCCCTGCCCCAGGTGGGGAGCCCAGGCACCCTCCCACCTCCGGGGCTCATCATCAACTCCCCTGGGGTCCCCAGGGTCCAAGCTTTCTCTTCCCACCCTGCTCACACTCTGGCGCTGCCTGGCAAGGCCCATGGGCGGCCCCGAGGCCAGAGCCTGGTGGCAACGCCCTGTTGCCCCCCGGGACGGATGGGGAGAAGGGAAAGCCTCAGCAGGGGCAGCCGACCCGGCACCCCTGGCCATGGGTGCCTCTCGGGTCCTGGTGCAGGAGGGAGGGGTGAGCAGACCCCCCCGTTGGATGTCCTCAGAGGGCAGGAGTGGGTGGGGACGGGGGGCACCGGGGGGCTGGATCAAAGCCCCACTTGGGCTGCACCAGGCTCCTGGAGGGCCACCCCAAGGGAGGACAAGCCTCTTCGTCCCCTTAATCCTCAGTTAAGTGACCTGGGAAGCCACCTCCGGGGCCTCTTCAGCCCTTGAGAGCTGCAGGGCCTGTGAGAGTGTACCCCAGGGGCTGCAGTCCCCAAAGAAGGGTGGGGGCCTTTGGCCTCAGAGGCCACAACCTGCCTTTGTGAGGTAATGGGCGAAAGCCTGACAGAGCGGGGAGCCAGGGCCCCACTTACAGGTGCTGCTTCTCCCGGGAGAAGGGGTAGGAGAGCCTCTTTGTGGTCTGGGGTCTGTGCTCCGCCACCCTGGGCTGGATGGGGTCTGTGATCTTCTGCAGCACCGAGTTGATTTTTTTCAGGAGGCCGCGGGTCTCGTTAATGTGATACAGCTGTGGAGTGGGGGGGGGGGGCGCCTGTCAAGGCCGCGCGAGACCGTGGGGCCTGTTCTCAGATGGCCACCCCGCTGGACGGCACGCCCCGGGACAGCGCCGGCCCCCAGCCTGCCCCTCCACGCCCGGGTGTCCAGATAGAGCCCGAAGCTGGGGGTCTCAGGAGAGCCGGCCAAAAGTGCACTTAGGGTACGTTCCAGAAAACCACCCCCAAACTTTACTTGGTTTCCAAAGCGGTAATCCAAGTGGTTTCAGAGGATTTGAGGGGCCGGGTCTGAGTCACCCCAAGCACGGCACCGGCCCTCCCCTCTCTGTGCCACACGCGAAGGGCAGCGCAGACGCCAGGCTGAGCTTGGAGGACACAGGCCAGGTGGGGCGTTGCCGAAAGAGGTCAGAGATTAAAAAGAAAGACCCAGCCAGCTGGGGATGTAATTTAAGTGGGCCCGGGTGGTGAACGGGACCCGGCGGGCCTGAGAGGCCAGCACAGGGAGGCTGGGGGTCCAGTTGGCCCTCAATTGACACGCCACCAGCCCTCAGAAACCTGGTCTTTACACGAGAGGACGCAGAACACAGCAGGTGCTCGGAGGACGTGCGGGGAGTCACTCATCACTGTCAGCACAGGGAGCTGGAGGAAGTGCTGTCAGGGGCCTGGGCTCTGCCTGTGCCATCTCCGGGGGTCTGTCTGGGGTCTCTGAAGATGCCCCTGCCCTCCACACGCCACCTGCCACAGCTCAGCCCCTGGCCCCGCCGTGCTGGGCGGTGTCTAGAAATGTTGCCACTAACCTTCTTCGTCGGCATCTTCAGCTTCAAAAACTCGGCCTCTCTGCACAGCACGTGCCAGGGCGCGTGGATCTTCACAAACCCGACGCCGGGAAGCTTGGTCTAGAGAGAGAGGGATGCCGGACTCCACACCCCTGGAGACATCTCCGGGGAGGTGGCTGAGAGCCCCGAAATAGCCAGGCCCCGAAGAGGCCCCTTTGTAGCTTGCCCGGGCCCTTGGGCCTAGACCGGGGTCCTCACTGCCCGCGGGTCCCCGCTTGGGGTGAGAAGGTCAGGCGAAGAGGCCCCCATGGCCTCACCTCTGCCTGCACCCACCTGTCCCCGGGCTCCCTGAGTCTGCACAGCTCAGTCCAACTGAGGGCGGCCAGGGCAGAGCAGAGCAGCCCTGTTCAAGTCCGAATCCACCCCGCTGCGCTGCCGGGACCTCGAGGAACCACTTCCCGGGGTGCAGGCACAGCCTCGGCTGCTAGAGCTGGCCCCGTCGGCCTCATGGCCAGCTCATGTCACTCCCCCTTCACAATGGGGACACCTGGGGCCTGGCATTTGTGGACACAGTCTTGGTTCCCCCAAATTTAAAAACAGAACTTCCACCTGGTCCAGCCATCCCACGCCTGGCTACAGATCCGGAGGAACTGAAATCAGCACCTCAAAGAAACATCTGCACCCCGGACTCACAGTGGCACGGTCCGCAATGGCCAAGGCCTGGGAACAGCCTAAATGTCCTCCCAGAGGCGAAGGGACAACAAATGCACAAGCACAGCGTGAGCACACACCACGGAATGTTACTCAGTCCGGACAAAGGGCTGACACGGGCCAGGGCTCCTGGGGTGACGAACCCCCGCACAGGCAAGAGGAGGAGGCCTGGGGTTCAGGCAGCCTAGCTCCTGCTGCCCTGGAGGGGCCAGCGGGCAGGCATGGGCAAGGCCACTGGCCGCAGAGGCTTTGGGGTTGTGGGCCTGGGTGGGAATCCCGCCGGGACTTCCTTGGCCAAGAAACTAGGAGCCGCCTCCCTGGTCTCGGGCAGCCTCGGGGCTCTGAGACGGCAGGGCGGGGGGCGGTGGCCCTGCCCTGGGCGCTCCGGCAGGCCTCGAGGGGCGCCCAGCAGGAGCGGGGACCGGCAGCTCGGAGCAGCAGAGCTCATCCTGCCGTGACCGCCCGGGCCTATTTCCGTGCATTCCACCCCCGCACGCCGAGACCCAAAATACACCCGCGGCACCCATGGAGACGTCTCTCCAGCCCTCAGGAGCTGGCCCCGCGGGCCTCTGTTTATGGAGGGACGGGGACCAGGGGAACATCTGGAGAGCCTGGGGGAGGGGTCAAGGCACCAGTTTGGGAAAAACATCGAGGGGATGTTTTCAAACGCGGTGCCCCGCCAGACCTCGGAGCGGTGGGAAGGGCCCCGAGGCGGCCGTCCCTCCTCCCGGGCCAGGCCCTACTGGGGGCGGCCCACCCGGCAGCACTTGGGGGCGGGCCCGCTGGCCAGGGCCCGGGGCTCCGTGGGGGGCAGGGTCCAGCCCCAAACGCTGCCCTTCCAGGAGGAGCAGGGCGGCCGAGGTGGCGCAGACGAAGCAGGGTCACCCCATCCCGGCCCGCCTGGCACTGACCTCGTCAGATCGTTCCTGGCATTGTCCTTTCAGAAGAAAATCCCCACAAAACAACCCAAAACACGGCAGCGGGACACTCGTGTGGAGGAGGTCAGGGTGCCCGCCCCGTCCCCCATGGGGTGCTGGGGGTGCTGCCTCCAGCCCCCGGAGGCTGGACCATGGGCTGGGAAATCGGGGCCAGTCCCCGTGGGTAGGGGGCGAGAAGTGGGTGGTCGCCGGTTGCTAGTGGGTGCCCAGAGAATCCGCTCCCTCCCACCTTCCCTGGCTCTCGGAGGCGGGCACCTTTCCCTTTTGGTGGGCAGGCCTGAGATCGGGGAATGTCAGGACTCCTGGGGTGGGAAGACATGAGGAGGGGCCTCCTGGCAGTGCCCTGTACCTCTCTGCCCCAGTGCTTGGTCCCAGGTGGGGGCCCCAGGGGGTATGCTGAGCACACAGTAGGGCCACAGAGCCTTCCCAACACAGTCCAGTCCAGTCCAGGAGTTGGGGCCACCTCGGAGGACAAGTGGCAGGACCTCTGGCTGCCACAGGGCCTGGGCAACCTCCTGGCCCTGACCCTCAGCTCTCAATGAGGACAGGCCCCTCCGTGGGCCTCTCCCAGGCTCTGCTGGGGACACCCGCTGTGCTTGAGGGCTGGCACTAGCTGCAGGTGCCCGATCCGCCCCTCTGACGGGACGCGCCTGGCACGGTCTGCTCTTCCCATTGGCACCGGCTTCCTGCACGGATGTGGGCTGGAGCTCAGGTTCTGGGGCCGGATCTGTCTGCTTAGTGGACTGGCGTGTCCGCGGGACAGGAAGCGCCCCAGGTGGGGGACGGAGTGGGCACTCGGTGACATTTCCTGAGGGAGCTGGGGTGGAAGAGGAGGGCCAGCCTGCACTGCGCCTCCCGTGCGCCAGCCACAGACCCCCGCATTCTGGTGCTGTGGTCTATCCCCACCCCCACAGGTGTCCCCACCGTAACACATGAGGATGCCGCACCGGCGGAGGAGCAGAGGCTGTGGGGGGGCGGGCCTGCTACGCTCACACCCCCCTCCAACAGGCAGCCCCAGGAGGCAATGCTGACCATCACCGGGATGGGGGGTTGAGGGGGGTGAGGGGGTATCTACTGGTGAGGTCACTGCCAGCTGGCCCCAGCACAGGAGCCCACCCCAGCCCTGCACAGAGCCAGCCCTGAAGCCTGGCAGTCCAAGGGCGAAACAAAGACGAGACCGGCGGCAAATACTCCGTCCTGCCTCTGCAGAAGGTGGGCAGATGACTCAGACGAGCCCGAGGGAAAGACGCGCCATGAAACAAACGGCCCAGCCTTGAGGCTGCCCCGGGGCTGCCACGTGGCCAGGAGGGGTCAGGGGCCGTCTGGGATCCAGGCCGCCCAAGCTGGGGAGTCCAACGGGAGCCAGGGACCCCAAGGTCACCCGCAGGTGACTCAGGAAGGGTCCCCTCCTCTGAGGCCGAGGACCTACCCCGGGCAGGAGGGACGGGAGAGGAGAGGTGAGCCCGGCTCCACAGGACTCCCCACGCCGCGACCCAGCGGGCCTGGGGACCTCAGCCCAGGGCCGATGCTGGCGTTCCCGTCCGCAGCGCGTGTGGGCGTGGGCTGGGCACCAGCCCGGGGCTGTCTGGGCCTTGGCCCGCCGCCCCCGCCCCCATGGCTACGTGAGGCCGTGAGCAGGGGCCCCCGGCCGGCCGGACGTGACTCAGCCCGGCAGGCAGCTGAGGGGGACCCCGGCCCGGCTGGGGGTGCTGGGAGGATGACTGGCTACGTCAGCCGCGCTCACCCCCTTTGGAGAAACAACCGCGGAGCAGAGGGCTGCGCGAAGGACAGGAAACTATTAAAAAGTGACACAGCCAACTTGGAAAGGAACCAGACAGAACTTCTAGAAATAAAGGCATGTCCTGACGAGGGCTCAGCACTCAGCAGACGTTCTCCAGGAGAGGCGGGCGCCAGCGGGAGCGCCCACCCCAGCCGGCCCCGTCTCGGCCGAGGCGAAGCCGGCGTCCACGGGGCACATATCCCGCGTGGCCCATCCCCGGCCGCGCGGGCCCATCTCCCGGCAAGTCGGGGCACACGGGCGGCGGCGGGGGCTGCCGGCAGCGGCTGGCCCAGCTCCTGGGGCTTGGCGGAGCTGTGCCGCGGGCTTCGCTGACTTAGGAGCAGCCTTGAAAGAAGCGTCCAGAGTCCACCACAAAGCCAGGGCCTGAAGGGAGCGGGCGGGGCATGCAGACGCCTCGGTGGAGGGCCCCGGAGTCGCAGACCCCTGGGCGTGAAGAAGTGTATGTGGAATGGGAGAAGCTCCAAGGGCCACAGGGTGATCACATGAGACGGGGAGCCCCTCGCGTCCCACCCATGGACGAGGGCCCTGCTCTCCCCACCCGGGAGGCCTGGCCGTGGGGCGTGGTGGGGCCACAGGTCTGGGACACCGCATGTGTTGGGGGCAGGCCCCGCCCTGGGGCTGTCCTGGCTGTCAGGATAGGCCCCTGGCTCCGGTCTCGGACCTCAGTCTGTCCTTCCCTCTGCAAGGGGGTTGGCCGGGCACTGCCCACTTGCGGTGGGATTAGAGAGCCCGCTGGGCCACACCCCCCGGAACACGTCACTCATTTGTTCTTACTGAGATGTGGGTTGCTCAACGTCGGGGATCCCCTACCCAGGGTTGTGCGGAGGGCCCCTCCAGTGCTGGGTGACAGGTTCCTGCTCGTCTCCACTGCTGGCCAAGCCCTAGCACTGCCTGGACGCCTCCCGCTGCCCGCAGGCCTCAGGCCCGTGGCCCGGCCGCCCCCCTCCCTCCCTCCCTGCCATCACCATGAGCCTCCGGAGCCCTTCTGCTCCCATCCGCAGGGGAAGGGTCCTGGGGCCGGAAGGGCAGCCTCTGCCGGGGACTTGGGAGTCGGGGTGTGCCTCCCCGGCCCCCAGGAGGAAGGAAGCGGCACCAACTCTGCCTTCCAGGTGGGAGTCAGGTCCAGAGAGGGGAACCCACCTGCCCCAGGCAGCCCCACTGAGGCACTGAACCCCACCGGGAGCGCAGAGCCCGCATCTGGCTGCTCCCACTGGGCATCCTGCTGCCCCCACCCCAGCCACCCCTCACTTGCTTTTCAAAAGCAGCTCCCACAACAAAGATGGACCACGGGGGGGCGGGGGGACCTCAATAGCAGCGTGACACCATCTTCATAGTCTCTGCCAGAGCCGCCCAGTTCAGGCCCAGGGCAGCGCTGGCCGGGAGGGAGTCAATGTGTGGCCTCCACGGCAGTGACCCCTGGACACAAATCATGGCGGCGGCTTTGAGGCCTGAGCTGCGAAGGCTGATGGGCTTCGGCTACAAAGGGACATGTTGACCAGGGACTGTGCTCGTCCCTTTAATGGGAGCCCTGGAAGCTGACCCTGCGCTGGGGTGGGGGAGCAGAGGGAGCTGGGGGAGAGGGAGAGAAAGGGAGGCAGGGAAGGAAGGAGGAGGAGGGAGGGCAGGAGATGGATCTCGAGATAGAGGGGGGAGGCGCTGGGGAGAGCCAGGGGAGGGAGCGGGGCAGGGGCGGGCTCTCCTGGAGGAGAGGGTGTGGCCCCCAGGCTCTCTGGAACCCCTTTGGGCCCGGCATGAGGCCAACTGGCAGGCTTGTCCACAGTCTGTTCCCTGGGGCTCTGGGGGCAGGACGTGGGGGGGTACTCAGGGGGCCCCCAGAGCTGGTGAGGGTATTTGCCAGGGCCCTTGCACACTCCTGGTTGTCATGCCTTGGGGGTGTTACTGGCCTGGTAGAAGCCGGGGTGGAGGGGGGTGGGGGTCCCTAAATATCAAAACCCAACAGTGCGGAAGTTGAGAACCCTGTTGACGCTTCACCTTTCAGGGACCCTTGAGTGTTTGAGCACCGGAATCTTCGCTCCCGCCCCCCACCCCCCAACTTTGCATCAAATTGTGCAGGATGGGCAGGCGCCAGGAACTGAACCGGCAGGCCCAGAGACTGAGGGTAGGAACACCCAGTCCCAACTCTGACCTGGGGTGGGGGCGGGGCTGGGATGGGGTTCAGCCCCAGGAGCCAGATTTAATCAGTCACATCCCAGTAACAAAACCTCCCAAACCCCAAAGGACAGGTTCAGAGAAGGCCCGGTTTGGGGCACACCTGCAGAACTGGGGAGCGTGGGGCTCCTGGAGCGGGCAGGGAGCTTCGCGCCCCCCACCCTGAGGGGCTGGCCCCCATCTGGCTGCTCTGGAGCCTCAGCGGGGGGTGACAAGCAGGTAATCTGGGGGCTCTGCAAGCTGCTCCAGGGATGACCCCCAGGGGGGGATCCTGGGGACCTCCCATCTACAGCCACGGGATCAGATGTGGAAGCCACCCTGGCCTAGGCCTGGCGTCCGCTGGGGCGGGGCAGTCCTGGGAGCTGACCCCTCACCTGCAGGCTCCAGGTAGCCCAGTCAGGAAGGGGCCAAGCTGCAGGACCCCCAGCCGGTGACACAGAACTGCTGGGGGTGCGGGGGGACCACTGCACAGAAGCAGACCCCGCGCTTGCCAGGAAGACAAGGGCTTTCTGTGACAGCCAGGCGGCTCTGGGCTCGCCTTCCCAGGCCGGCCGGTGCGAGCTTTTGAAAGGACGTGTGGGCTCCATTCCCACTGCAAGCTCGGCCCAGAACTTGCCATCACGCCAGCATCTGCCAAGGAGATGCCGCCGTGCCAGCCCCTGAAGCACTCTGCCCGCGCCCACCGGAGCCCCGCGGCAGACACAGGGGGACACCGAGGCCTAAGCCGCTCAACACGTTTCACCAAGGCTGGGACCGGACCCGGGGTTACCAGACCTTGGGGTCCCTTCCAAGAGGGGATCTGAAAGCTGCTGGCTAGACAGAGCGAGTCCCTCGGAGAGCACATAGGGGCCCCGGCCCCTGCAGCCACCCCTGCCATGGGGTCCCCGGAACTGCGAGTCAGGCCTGCAAGGGCCCCTGTGTCCCCAGCAGCGCGACATCAGCTGGAACGAACTGCGGTTCCGAGTGCCCCACTGGGGTCCAGGACACGGTGGCTGGAGCGCCCCGGCTTGGCACCACCAGTCTGCCGGCGAGTCGGGGAGGCGGGGTCCCTAACCTTGGCGGGGTCGGGGCTTTGCGCCTGACCATCCAGCCTTTTAAGGTCCTGGGCTCACCTGTGACCCAGTGGATCACCTGGCAGCCAACCCGCCTCCTGCAGGGCGGAGGCCTCTGGGCGCCCACCCAGCCCCCAGCTGAGCACAGCCGCTCGCACAGGGGTGGAAGGAGGCCCTGAGCATTCTGGGTCCTCTCCAGGGGAGCCAACAGGCTCATCGTGGAGGACTCGTGGCCTGGGCTCCTTGACTGACCAGCTTGCTGCCAGGCCCGTGCCGCGGGCCCCACAGTACTCAGGGCTCAGCGCCGCCTGCCGTGGGCCCACACATCCACACCAAGGGGCCACCGCGGGGAGGCAAGGCCTCTCCAGCCCGCGACGGCCCTCAGCTTGCGCAGGGGCAGCTCAGTCTGACCTTGGGCTGCAGGGCAGGGAGGGGCACACAGCAAGCCCCAGCCGGCGGCTGATGCCCTGGAGAGCTGCTCGGTCTCACTGGGGAGGCCCCGGAAACCAGTGCTGGGGTCACAGGGGCCGTGGCCACGGCCCCGGCTCGGCCACAGCGACCTTCTCATCTGCAGACTGAGACGCCGATCACCGAGGTCAACCACCAGGATGCAGAGAGAGCGCCGTCCTGTCCCTCCGACGGGAGCCCCTCCCCAGGAGAGCAGCTGACTGAAGCAGGAGATGCCTGGACCCTGAGGTCACTGCCAAGGAGGTCAGCCCCTCCTCCTGCGGCCACGAGCAGAAACCGCCTCGTCCCAGCCCCGGTCAGCGTGCCCTGCAGCCTGTCCAGGCAAGGCTCCCCACCACCCGCCTCCGCCCCCCGCGCCCCCTGTGGCTCACGTCCTCATCGTGCTCCAGCTCCAGGCCGGCCTCCAGCAGGTTGCCCTCGTACTCCTCCCTGCGGAGCCGCTTGTCGTCCTCGTGGTAGTCCATGGCCGGCTCAGCGGCACCCGCTTCCTCCGGAGCCCCCTTCCCAGGCAGCGGCTGGTCCTGCTTGACACTGCGGGCGGCCAGGCCAGCGTCGCCGTGCTGGGCCCTCCGGGCCAGCGTCCGGCTGCCTGAGGGCCTCTTGTGGTGGTAGACCAGGATGTAGTCCACCTTGCGCTTGCCATCTCGGAAGTAAAGCCCGTACTTGCACTCGGCATCAGGGTCCACCGACAGGGAGTTCAGCAGCTGGGGAGACACACGCTCTAGTCAGGCGCCTGCTGGGCCACGCTCTGCTCGCCGCCCTCCCTGGAGCGCTGGGGCCAGGCCGGGCCTGGCGCCACTCGCCAATGGGACACCGAGAGCTGGTGGCCCACGCGTCACCCCCCAGGAGAGCTCAGAGTCTGCAGCCCAGCTCGGGCCAGGACAGGTGGGTGCTGGCAGCTTTGGTCACAGCGGCCCCAGCCCCGGGCCCCACGGCCCCAGCCCCCTGGCCCGCCTGGCTCCTGGGGGCTTCCTCGCACCAGCCATGTGGTCAGCGACCAGGCCCGTGCTGACAGCTTGGGTTGTCCCCAAGGCAGCCCAGGGCGGCGCATCGGGGTTCAGGGGTTTATGTGGGAAGGGGTGGGAAGGGACCAGAGGGGAGGCGACGGGGTGGTGACGGGGGCTCTGGGGCCGGGACTGCCTCGGTTGCCTCATCTGCCCAGAGGGCAGAAGTGTGGGGCCAAGGGACGCCAATCTGGCATGCCTGGATTTCCAGAGCTGCCCACGGGGGGTGATGCGGAGGGCAGGGTGGCCCTGACCCCTAGCAGGCTGGCCCTGGGGTCAGACACTGTAAGTCTAGTGCCCGGAGTGACGTCTCGTCTGACGCTGGCCAGTGGATTTCTCGTCAACGTTCTAACAAGAGACGCTGAGTGAAGTCAGTGGCCTTATCCCAAGGCCTGCTCCCATTCTACGCCGCTTTGCTTAAGGCTGCCGAGGGCATCCGTGAGGGCTGGCAGGGGCCTAGGGAGCAGCTCCAAACCTGAGTCCAGCCCCGCCCACCCCTCCTGCCCCGCGGGAGCGTCCACCCAGCTCTCCGTCCTCCTGAGCACCCCAATTCCACCTGTGTCCACCCATGTAGGATGGGAGGATAACAGAAGCTGCTCGTACTTGTGCACATCCGGGAGGGGTCTCTGGTTGGGGGGTTCACCCGCTAACCCCCAGGACAGGTGCCTGGGGCCATCCCGCCACCTGCCCTCTGTGCCCACGCAGCCCACACACCCTCATATTGGGTCAGAGCGGGGTAGGGCTGTGGCGGCCAGGAAGGCCCGGGTACTCACGAAGGAAGTCTGCTGGGCAGGTGAGAGCGAGGAGCCCCTCAGAGCAAGGTGGGCTTGCAGCCTTCGGGGTGGGCAGGGGTACGTGGATACCCCGCCTGGGCCAGCATCTGGTCCCTCTCCACAGGGACCCATGCCGAGCCCCCACAGCCTGGAGCTGCGCCCCTTGAGCAGAGCCTGATGTCGAGCACAGCTGTGCAGGACACTGCGCATCCCCTGCCCAGCACAGCCTCTCCCCCTCCACCGCCACCCGGGCCTGCATGGTGCCTGGACATCCTTGCCTCCTCTTTGTGTGCGCTGTGCTCCCTGCCTCAGGCCCACCCTTCCTTTCTGTGCCCTGCACGGGCAGAGGCATGGCCCCCATGACCTGGGGTCTCCCACCGCTCCTGCCTGGGCAGTCCTCATGTGCCAGGGCCACCTCTGAACCACACCCACCAGCTCTTAACTCATGGGGCCCCTCAATCCCACGGCAGGGTCCCTGAGGTGGGTCCCTGAGGTGTATCCCAGAGAGGGTGTCTGGGCTTGAAGAAGCTGCTCTGCCCTTCTAGCTGTGCTCCCACGGGCACAGTTGGCTCTCCCTGCCTCTCTGGATCTCTTTGTAAAATGACCCAGAGCTGGTATCCAAAGCCCCTCACGCAGTGCGACCCCTCAAAGGGAAGTTGGAAGGATCAGACGTGTCATCTTTGTAAAAAGTTCACCCGGGCCTGGCTGAGGCCAGCCCTCTGCAGAAGCGCACTCCCTGGGACCCAGGGGATGAGCTCAGGGTCACCGCGGACCACGGGCAAAGATGGCGGCAGTGCCGAGTCCGGATTTGCAATAGTCCCGGAGGAGCTGGTGCCCTGCCAGCGGGAGGCAGCACCAAGCCAGACGAGCGGGCCCGGGCCTCCTCCCAGGCCTGGCCTTGCCACCGACTCGTGTGACCCTGGGCACGCTGCCTTCTCCTGGGTTTTGGAAATGGAAGTAGCTACCTGGGTGAGTGTGAGGGATCAGCAGCCCTGGCACAGGAAGTGCGGGCTCTCTCCTGCCACCTGCTACGCGGCTGGGAGGCCGGGGCCTGGAGAGCGAGAGGAGGGGACAGCCCCCCTCTGAGACGTCCACGAGCAGGGAAGTGGGCTGTTCTCGTCCGGGACAGGACAAAAGGGCAAAGACTGAACCTGCAGCGGAGTGGATACGCAAGACTTCGGATGCAAAGGCTTGGGAAAGCTCCAGAAAGTTCTCCTTTCTGTGTCCCTAGGACAAGGGCGGGCAACTCCTCAGTCCACCCAGTGGAAGGCAGGGGTTCCCCGCCCACCCGTGTAACGGCTGACACCCCAGCGAGGTGTGGGGTAAGTGGATGCGAGGAGATGGACGCAGGGTCCGGCTGGCACAGCCAGGCAGGGCCACCAGGCCCGCAGACCGCGGCCGAGATGCCACCGGCCCAGCAACGTTACTGCGGCACCCCACAGTCCCTCCTGAGGTCACAGGGATCTTGTCAGGACAAAGAGGTGGGAGCCCCGAAGCACTTTGAAGATTACGGCCTGAGTATTTGGAGGTACGGAAGGCGCGTCCCCGAGGAAGGGGGAAACAAGGTGGAAGAAGCTCCTTGGGGCTTCATGGAAGGTGGGGGGACGAGGGTGTCCTACAAGGCAGGAGCGCCTGTCCCAAACACCACGGAGGGCCCACACCTGCCCCTCCAGACTCTCAGGAAGGCGGAGAACTGGGGGTCCGCCCTGCACCTGGGGCACCGGGCAGGAGCCGCGTCCACGCGCCGGGGGCGGTCAAGCCCGGCCAGTGCAGACTGTCATCCTAAGGGGTTGCCCACATTAGCGTCTTCTGCCAATGGGAATGGAAGCCAGGGGCCTGCAACACTTCTTGGGGTTCTGGGATGCTCTGAATGTCAGGCCCAAGGAGAACATCCATTTTCAGCCTCGCTTTGCTCCTAAATGGCTTCGATTATCACCAGCACGTCCGCTCAGATCAGCGCGGGGCCACCCTGATCACCCTGCGCGGGCACCGGTCCCGGGCCTCAGGGCGTCTGGGCTGGCCAGCACTTGACCCCGCCCTGGGAGGACACTGCGTGTGAAGCAGAAAGTAGAAACACTCAGGTGTCAGCCCAGAGAAAACGGACGAAATAAGTCGCACCCACCCCGGCTCTGACTTAGTCTTTTCTTCTTACAGGGCTTTACTGTGAGCGTGAACGTGACTTGACCCTTGAACTCGGGGATGGCCGGGAGCAGCAGCCCAGGGACGCCCGGAGCCGTGGCCGCGGGTTGGCCTCACTCTGACGGCCGATTTAAGCCCACGCCTATGGGATCGGGTTTGGAGTGCTCGTCTGGGAAGCGATAGCAACGCTCAGAAAGGCGGCCCACGTCCTCCGGCCTTTGCGGGCGTGGCTGGTGACTCAGGTGTGAGTGAGCAACAATTATTGGCTTGAGCTGTGCCAGGGATGCCCATGGGGGCGCTCCCCTCCCGCGCCTGCCCCCCTTCTACAGTGGCAGCCTCCTGTCTGTGGCCAGTCTGTGGCATCGCGCTGCCCTCTCTCCACGGTCAGTGGCCGGATTCACAGCCCCCCGAGCCCATGATCCCTGTAGGGTGAGGTAGAAGTATCAGGCTTTTCCGCCCTCCCGTCATTAGGATAGATGAGGGAACCCTGGGGTCCTGAGTGCAGGCCTGATGGCGGGCACCTGAGTGGGTACACCTGGGCTGAGGGACTGCGTTTACAAGGGCGGCATCATGGGGACGCCGGCAGAAGCCAAGAACGAACGGAAGCCGAGAGCAGAGAAGCAGAGAGAAGGCCAGAGAGCCCAGAGAGAGTGAGGATGTGCTGGGGGCTGGGAGGCCTGCCAGCCTCCCGGCCCCCCAGCACCCCTGCCTGCCGTGTGCCTGGTAAATCTAAATAAAAGACCTGCAAAAGCCACTGAGGACCCTGACTCCTCCTCTACCCGGTCTGCTGGGTCAGAAAACCTGCCCTGTGCCCAGTCCTGTCCTTACAATACCCCAAACCTGCCCGTAGAGAGAGTGTGGGCAAAGCAAGTGTCCGGAGCCTCATCTGCTCCTGTCTGCGGGGGCCTGGATGGGAAGACCCAGTGACGGGCCACCTCCTCCAGCTCTGGGGCCTCACCGGGGTCCGGGGGAAACAGCCGTGGATCCAGGCAAGCGGAGGCCCCGGAACTAACCCCGGAGCCCAAGGCCTTTGCCTCTTGTCTTATTTCTTCATTCCACGTCCAGTTCCTCACCAGGCCTTGTCCCATTTCATGTCCAGTTCCTCACCAGGTCTTCCTGCGGGTCTACCTCTGCAGGTCCAATTCTTTCCACTGGACGTCACCATCCTCTCACGCCTCCAAACAGGCCCCCCACCTCTGGGTGGGGATGTGACATCCCTGCCCGAGGCCCCACCCCCAACTCAGGGTGGGAACCACTAGCTCCTCTGACGTTCAGGCCTCCGCGGCCACCTGTGGCCACCTGTGGCCACCTGCACCTGTGTCTCAGGCCTTCCGAGCTCTCCTCCTAGCTGGTGGGGGCTGGGAACTGGCCACCTGGCCCCTCTTGGCCTTTGCGGGCGGCACAGGCCGCCCCTCATCTGAGGAGCAGCAGCAACTGTGTATTGCTGTGAGTTAAGCAAGTTACCAGGGGCCAGCAGCGCAGGGAAGAGTGCCTTTGTCGCTGTCCTGGGTAACGTTCCCTGGAGCCCAGAAGGGCGCGGCCCCTTCCTGTGGGTGCCCAGGGAGCATCCTGGCACACGTCAGGCGACCACCGATGACCCCTAGGCTTTCAGGCCAAAGGCGTCCATCCCAGGCAGAAGTGTTTCCCACCGACCCTCCTACCCAAGGCTCCCTGCGCCTTTGTGCCAGCCCAGCTGCAGAGGCACCCCCAAATTCCCACAAGCCCCAGGTGAGGCCCAAGGAGGGGCAAGCCCTAGATCCCCCCAGCCCTGGCACAGGCTCCCGCCCGGCAGGAGCTCCCAGGTGCCAGGGCCTCCAGCCAGAGCCGGGACCCCGGCCTTTGGGCTGTCCAGGCAGGGCGGCGGGGGAGGGAGGGAGCAGGCGGAGGCCGCTCTCGGGCCCCTGGGGCTCCCGGCTGAGGGCGCTGGTCTCAGCTCCTCACTCTTGTGGCAAACTTTGCTCTAATTAATGAAGCCACCCCCCCTCCACCCCCGCGAGGGCGAATTCTGTCCTCCGGGGATTCCTACAGGCTGGATCTGGCCCCACGGGGCGGGGGTGGGGGGTGGCGGGACCCCCACGTGTGATGCTGCTTGTCCCCGCGGCCCTGCCCGCGCTCGGGCGAGGCTGGGGACCCGCCAGCCGGGGAAGCCCGGGGCGGGGGGCGCGGCGGGCTCAGCCCCGGGGGTTGCGCCGCGGGCAGGTGAAGGGGCGCCGAGCCGCCTGGAGCGGAGGCGCGAGGGGCCTGGAGGTTCCCCCTCACCCCCACACCCCCCCACCCCGCTGCCGGCGCCGGGAGGGGAGCGCCCCGGGCCAGCTGCAGCCGGGCCGGGCCTCGGGGCTGCCGGCCGCGGGGCGCGCGGGGCGCGCGGGGCGGGCGCGCGGGGTCGGCCCACGTGCGCGCGGCCCCTCGGCGCAGGTGGCGCCGCGCACTCACCGTGCCCTCGGACGGCAGGTAGCCCAGGTCCTCGATGGCGCAGATGTTGATGATGTGGACGCTGCGGTCCTCGGCCGGGAGCGTCGAGTACTTCTCGCTGACCCTCATCGCGGCCGCCTGTGCGCCGGGACCGCCGGGCGGCGCGCCCTCGCCATCCACGGCCCCGGCGGCCTCTGCAGGGAGACGGCGCGGTCGGTCGGTCGGCGCAGGGGGCCGGGCCTCCGCCGCCCGCCGGGACGTGGCCGCCGCCCGCGCCCGCCCCGCGCCCGCCCCGCGCCCGGCCCGCCCGGCCCGCCCCGCGCCCGGCCCGCCCGGCCCGCCCCGCGCCCCTCCCCGAGCAGGACCTGGGCGCGCGGCGCCGCTTATGGCAGGGGCGCGGCCGCGCGGTCAGACTTTCCGTAGAAATTTAAACCCAGGAAGACAGGGCTCCGTGGCCGCGGCCCCCCAAGCTTGACTTCCCCCGGGAACGCGCCCCTTCGGGTTTTTTTTCTCTTTGCGCGTGGCCAAGGCTGCGGGTCAGGGAGGAAGCCGCAGCAGCCCCAGCTCCAGCCTCCAAGCGGGCCCCTCGCCGGGGCTGCCACCCTGCAGGGGAGGCGCTTCTGGACCGGGGGCAGGAATGCTCGCCCTGCCCCGGCCCCTCCACCCGCGGGCAGGCTCCTGCCTCACCCAGCTCACACCTCCTCCGGGCAGCCTCCCCTGCTTTCCGCAGGCCCGCCCTCTCCAGCTGGCCCTTGCTCCTGGCAGCATCTCTCCCATGTAAGCGGCTCTCCAGAGCCCCCCATGTTGCCCACAGCCCCCATTACGGAGCCCCGAGCAGCCTGACGGGGTACAGCATCTTTCACAAAGTTCATCTCTATTAACCCCCCGGGGGGCCCTCGTTTCGTAGAGGGGGCCTGGCTCTGAGAAGCCCGGGAGCCGGGGCAGGGTGGCCAGGTGCCAGGCCTGGCCTTGTGGGCAGCTCTACTGCCCCCCACCCGCCGGGGAGGGATGGCGGCTTTGATCAGGCTCCTCCGGGGACCTGAGGGGCCCAGCACACAGACGGTGCTCCGGGACACGTTTTTAACCCTCCATCCCTGCAGGAGGAGGACGTAGGACTCCAGGGGCAGCCACACTCGGTTTCGCCCCCAGTGCCCGCAGAGCCACCCTGTCCAGCAGGAATAAAGTCTCCCTCTCCTCCTCGCTACGTCCCATTAGTTCCCCAGGGTGTGCACCAGATGCCACCAGCGGCAGGAAGTTGCCCTGGACTGCCCCGCAAGCACTCGGGCCAGAGAACCTCCCTTCACCTGGCCTCTGTACAGGGGGTTCACACAGCTGGTGCTCCACAGCTGCTTGTGGAATGGCCACCGAGGAACATTCAGGACCGCAGAAGGGACTAGAAAGCTGCCTTCCAAGGTCATGACGTCATCAGCATGCCACAGTGCGCAGGGTGGATTCTGGAATCGAGGTGGGGTGGGGGCGCCAGGGCGTGGTCTAGCTTTTCAGCTATGACCTCAGGAGAGCCTCAGAGACGCGCAGGCCTGTGGCTCCTCTGCGAGCGTCCCGCGTGCGGGGGGGCGGGCGCCGTGGCGGCCTCTGCTGCTGCCACCGTCTCTTGTCATTGCTGTGACCTCCCTTCCCTGGCGGGAGCCCCCTCCCTGTTGAGGTGCAGGAAGTTTACTCCATCCTTGGGCCGGTCTTGCCAACGGGCACCGCGTGGCCCCAAAGGACCCTTTGTCTGCGCCTTGGACTGCAGAGCAGACCTGGAGACCAGCGCGCCGCGGGCCAAGCCCCGCCGGAAACAGCCCTGCACGGTCTCTGCCACGCCAGGGAGACCGTGCCCCTGAGAGCTCATGTTTTCAGGGCCGGGAGGGCGCGCGGGGGATTGCGTCACTCCCGGCCTGGCCAGCGCCACGGCCGTGCGGGCAGCGAAGGTCTCGCGGCGCGCGAACGGGTGTCAAGCGGCGGCAGGTCTTACCGACCACAAGGTCTGGCTGGTGAAAAAGGAGGAAAAACAGAATCTCAGTTCCGCGGACAGGGGTGATCCCAAGCGTCTGGGAAGTGACCCTTGGCAACGGAGTGGGAGACGGCCCCGGGCGGGGGTGGGGGCTACAGGGTGGGGTCAGCCTCCTGGGTGTCCCCCTGTTTTCCCCCCGCCACCCACCTCCGGCAGAGCAGGCGCCCCTCAGGGCTCTGCTGCAGGAGACGTCTGCCCGATAGGCACCTTCCTGGGCTTAAGACATCTGGTCACATTCTCTGCCACGTCTCTGTGGGCTCCCTGCCTGCACCCCATCTGCCTGCACCCCCTCCCTGGCGAGGAAATGCAGAGGGGAGAGGTTCGGGTTAGTGGGGAGGAGGGCCAGCAAGGATCAGCTCCAATCCCAGACCACGGGGGTTTTGGAAACCAACAGAAATGAAAACAACCCCCACCACTGGGGAAGGGGAGCAGAAATCCACACCAGGGTACTCCCCACTAGCAGGACCGGGGTGTCCCTTTGTTCTGCGGTGGTTCCCTGAGCGACTGGCTCGCGCTGGCCCTCGGATCGGGACTCTGTCTCTGCTCGGAGCCGCTAATTGCTTATAAATGAGCCCTCCAGCTAAGAGATGGCATTAATTTTGCATCGCCCCCTTTTTGACTCACTGATTCTCATCATTAAAACCCCAAAGGGGCAGATTTCGCCTGCAGGATTAATTCCCCGCTTTGAATTAGTAAAGACCAGTCTCATGAGTTAAACGGTGCGTTTTATTACGGACGTCCTGGGCCCGCTGCCTGCCGCCGGGCTGCCCTTCCGCGCCGGCGTGATGTTATCCACTTGCGTCTCCGCTGACATTTCCCTGATCGCCGGCAGCGCGTGCATGGCGTGACCCGGGCGCGGGCGCTGCTGGGAGAGCACCTTCCCGGGAAGAGCTCAGAGGGCCTCTTCCAACGCTATTGTTTTTGCAACCTCGGCTGACCATCCGCGCCGCGCCCACGGGGAGGAATGCCTTGCAGCCGGCCTGGCCGGGTCTGAGAGGTCACCTGGTGGACGGACGGTGACGAAGCCCCGCAGGACAGGCCCTCCGACGCCACTTGCCTGGACGTGGGGGTGAGGAAGCGCTAGCAGCGTCTCCTGTGAGACGGTGCCCTCGGGCGGGCTTCTCCAGCCGGGCACTGTTGACATGTGGGGCTGATCCTTCTTTCTGGGGGGCGGCGGAGTGCACTGGAGGGTCAACACCATCTCTGGCCTTGACCCTCTAGGCACCAGTATTGCCACCTTCCTCCCAGGGCGACAACCCCAAATGTCCCCTGGGGAGCAAAATCACCCCCTGTTGAGACCCTCTGCGTGGGGCTTAACAAAGACCCTTGCCTGCCCTCTGCTCCCCAGGAGGCCGATCTTATCAGCACTCGTCTCAGGTGACAGTGCTGGGCTGGAGAGAGGACCTGCTTGGCTTGGTCAAGCAGCCAACTCTGCCCTTTAATCTAGGCCTCCTGACCGTCCCCTGCCCCCAAGGGTGACTTCAACACACACACACACACACACACACACAGATCTGAGGCAGGAGACCAGCTTGGCGCCCCCGCCTGCCCTGGGTTGGTGGAAGGGGTGGTCCTGGGCCTGGTCAGGAGCCCCTGGCTCTGCGCGTGAGACGGGCTCTGCGCTCAGGGGTGCTGAGGCCACGTGTGGATGCAGGAGCAGCCGGAGCGGCGTGGAAGAAGTGAGCAGCACTTGACAGGGGTGTGGGGGGCACCAGTAGCCACCCTGCCTGCTGGCTGGGGCCCCTTCCGGTCTCGGGCGGGAGCCCGCGCGGGAAGGACGCGGCCGCCGAGCAGGTGGATGACATCATGTGCTAAAAGGGACTGGGCATCACCGTCCCCAGGGAGCGCGGGCCTGGGCACTGTTGTCCGAGATTCGGTGGCCGGAGACGGGCCTGGTCATTTCCTTCCCTTGCGTGACGTCAGGTGGGAGCTGGAGGGGGGCCCGGCCGCGCTCTGGAACCAGCCGGAGCGCGAAGTCCTGTCCACTGGAGGTTTCAGAGGCTTCATGTCCCTCCCCCCGCCCCCCCCCCAAGGCTGCCTCCGGGAGTTCCTGAGAACCCCAGGCACGCCGGGGCAGGTTGGAGGGCGGCAGCCTGGCCACCTCCTTCCGGAAGCCTCTGGGTTCCGCTCGGCGGGCATTACTCAGCCCCGCTCCGCGGGACGCGCCAGCTCCTTTCTGCTGGGTCATCCTCAGGCTGGGCGCTCCTGTCCGCCCGTCTCTGGCACTGCCGACGTCCCGGTTATGTTTATTTATTCAACAACAGCGGTGCCTGGCCTTGACGAGCCGGCTCCTCGGAGCTCCGGGTCCATTACCGCGGCTGCCAGTGGCCTCCGGGTGCCCCGCCCGCCTTCCTGGGGTGTGCGGGGAGAAGTCCAGGCTGGGTCTCAAATTGCCACCCGCCCCAGCGAGCCCCGGGGAAGTGCAGAGATGGTCTCCGTGACGCAGCTTTGGCATCAGGAGCCCTGCCCGCCCGGGTCAGCCGGGTCCCCCCTGCTTCCAGCTGTGGTTAGCATGAGCCGGCCACCCGGCAACCCCCAGCAGAGAGTGGAGACTGCACGACACCCCCTTTTCAGGGAGATCCTGGTCCCCGCCTTTGCTCTGGGGGCTTGAGAGAATAGAAGGGCTTCCGGCTCCTTGCTCTAGGTCCTAGGGGTTCCCTCTCAGGGGTTCCCAGGGAACCAGAGGACCCCACGCTGCTGAGAGGCCCCGAGGAGCCCAGCCAGGTGGGCTGGAGGGAGTGTGGCCCTGAGCTACTGGCTGGGTCGGACTCGGGGTCCCCCCACTGGGTGTGTGAACCCAACACATCTGTTCCCACCCCACCCCGATGCCCTGTGAGGGTATCGCACCTGCCTTATCACTCCCCTGGGGTCGGTGGCCACAGGATGCCCCACGGGGAGGCCAACCCCGACATCCAGGAGGCAAAAGCCCGGGTCTCCCTGTGAGGGAATCGCGCTGGACTCAGGCCGCGTCTTATAGCCGGGCTCGGAGGACCAGGATGAGCTCCTGGGACAGACGCAGGACTCAGGGTCTTGCGGGAAGGGGCGCCAGGGCCGGCACAGGGGACCCCAGAGGGGCAGCTCCCTGGGAGCCCCGCTTTCTCGGGCAGTGACCCAGCACTGAGCTTTGGTTTTGTGCCAGGGCCTCAGCGGGGCCCCGGGTC